AAATTGACTAAAAGAATTTACTTAATAAGTGAATGCTTTTCTTCTCTACGCCCATGGTTTATTTATCATTTTGTTCTTGAAAATAGCTATTGGAGCGTTTTTTTGTGGCGAAAAAGTTATTTCTTGAAGAAAGATAAGGAAATATCTCGTACTTATTTTAAATAGGAATTTAGTACATAGTTTGCGATTGATTTGACGAAACTTTGTTGCTAAAATAACTTGTAACGCTTTATTACATTAATTAACCATGGTATATTCCACAGCAGAAAGAGTTGAAGTTATCGAAATATTTTTCGGAAATAATCAGTGCGCTGATAGAACAGCAGAAATATTTAATGAGCGACATGAGAACAGTAACGTGCATCGAAAATATGTTCTAGAACTTGTAGCCAAATTTCGGGAAACTGGGTCAGTCGCCAATAAAAAACGCAACATTGAAAATCCCAGAGGAACGAAGCAATAGAAGTGGGGATTTTAGGACAAGTTTATGTAGATCCTACGAAGCGGGTATTTAAAATATGGATGCATAAAATGGGCACCGATTTTTGTAGGAAAACTTTCTATTTGACAACAAAGAATGAGAAAACGTGTTTTTTGGGATTCAATCAAAAGTGTTGACAGAAACGAAAAAACTTTTCATATAAGATTTTTAGGTATTTATGAGACCTACAAAATGAGATGACACGTGATAAGATCCGACTAATAGCAAAAATGTTATGACCGAAAAACGAGGCGAAATGCAGGTTTTGGCACTTAATAATGCGACAATAATTTCAAGCAACTACTTGAGATTCTTCAAATCCGTAGCATTCATACTTCTAAACAACAACAACCAAATTGGAGTATATTGGTCAAGTAGTAGTTTATAGAGCAATATACAGGATTCGTTCAAAGAGCATTAAATAGCAAAATACACGTGAATCATAAGCCATTCCGAGATAAATGTTATTTTATGTGTCCATGTTTTGAATATCCCCTTGAACAACTTGCAGCAATAAAACCAGACATTACAATTATTTCGCAAACCAAGAAGTAATGGATATGTGCCTTCATGTAAGTTGCTTCTTTGATTTGTTGGGCACAGAAAGAGTGTTTTCCAGATTACGAAAGCAATAAGCAGGTTGCTCTAGTTATCCTGGGGGTCATACTCATCATAACTAACGTTATTAACAGTCAAATATTGCTGGTCAGGGTCGGCATTCGGTTTTTGAAAACGCAAACCATTTCCAAGTGCTCAACGAATATGACGTCATTTGCATTTGGTTTCAATGTGATTGTAAAAGTATGGTGTTCCCGTCGATTTCACGCTTAATGTCGGCTGACTTCAAAACTACTAAGTGGTTGGTGTTTTCTTATTTCTGTTTTTATTTATATCTAGGATGTTGGGTGGTATTGATACGATAATTGTACCTAATGGCATAACAGTTTATTGTCGTTGATTTAATTAGAAATGTTGAAAGCCTCTGGAGGCAAATATTCGAGAACGATGATTTTCTTGAATTTTGGGTGTAATTTTGCAGCGTCTAGAAAATAGGATTTGAAAAATTTGGAGAAAATGCTGAAGCCGTTTTTACCAATGCCTTCTAGATCCGATGAAGTAAGTAGTCGAGTTCCAATAGTGATGAAACTCTGATTATAAAATATACGATTCTCTAACTACTTATAATGTCAATACATAAAACTAACTATCCTGCAGTTAATGTAATATACAGTAACTTACATGAATTTCTACCAAATTTACGTAGGCGTTAATTAAACTGTAACTCTAAGACAGTCATCGGTCTTAAATGATAATAAGTTGTTATTGGAAAAGTCACCGTCGTCAAGATGTGGTAGACGGATTGAAAACTTAAGGCGTACACAGAGTAACGTGAATACCTAAAGCATCGCTTTCAATCTGAAGACCGAGAACACTAGCCCAGCTGTTCGCATCAATAGACGTCAAAATGGGAAGAATAGGTCACCTTTCTATCAAATCTACCTTTTACCATCTGTGTTTGACCAAGCCCAACCAGACAAGCGCCACCAAGCGAGAGCAAAGTCGGACATCGCTACCATTGTCATTACTGTTATACACTTTATAATTTTTTTAATTTAATTACTAATACTTCCTACTCTGACTGTACTTTGCGTATTATGCTTTTCTCATCAAGCCCTCCAATGTGATACCCATATCATAGAGGTGTCTATAAAAAATATAAATCACCTTTGTGCGTCATATTGCACTTAAAAAGACGTCATTTTGTTGATGATGTTTCTCTCGTCGAACCCGTTCATTTGATACTCATACCATAAAAGTGCCTGTGGAAAATGTAAATCGTCATTTCACCGTGGCCGCCATATTGGATTTATAATGACGTCACTTTGCTTATTTTGTTTCTCTCATCAAGCCTTTTCATTTGATACCCATACCAAATGATGCTTCGCCATTCTGAAGCATCCGCTATATTGGATTTAAAATGGCGAAAGTTCATTCATTTTGTATTGTCACGCGAACCAAACGTGTGTCCAACATTTCAGCGCAATCGGTTAAGGTTAATTGTTCAAAATTCAGTTGCAAGATTTATTCCACACATATGTATACAGGGTGTTTCAGTTTATTGTTGCATAACTTTAAGATTCGATAGAACTTTTAAAATTAATGCATCAAGTCTATATAAACATGGGTCGAAAAATGCGTGGCTTCCGAAATACAGGGTGTTTAAATTTACGTTCTAAAATAGTTTTTTTTAAATATTTCGAACAATATTTGATGTATAACAGTGAAAATTGGTATACAAGGGTTTTTTGGTACGACAAAACGAACCATGGGCAAAGTTTTACTGTAGCCGCTAGAGGGCGCTCTCTACTGTACTTGTAGTTTATTAAAATGACCGAAAAAATTTTTCTTAGTGCAATTTTTTCCTTTTTGAATGAAAACACTTATTATTCGCACTTTTCAACATAAAAAAGCTCTCTTGTGAGTTTTCGTTATAGTTAGCCGTTTTTGAGATATTTCGATTTTTAATTATTTATGATAAAATAACGTTACAAAGTCAGTATCTCGATAATTTTTAGAAACAGGCTGTGCCTGCAAATATTTTTGAAATTGAAAGCAGAATAAGGTTAAACATCAATTAGTTGACAGTTAGTTTTGTTGTCTGTTGAAACCTGAAACGTTTTTTTGCCATTGTGAATGCACGAAATTTAGTTTCTTTCTGTTTTTTTTTGTATGTTTTATAAAAATGCCATTTTTATTCTCCAACCAAGAGTTAGCGGATATTCATTTTGTGTATGGCTTTGTAAATGGAAACGCAGCAGAAGCAGCCAGAGAATACGCACGAAGATTTCCAAACAGACGACATCCAACTCGCTCAGTATTTGTAAGAGTGCATCGCCAAATAATTGAAAATGGTTTTGGAAATCTCCAAAGGGATCAAAACATAAATGTTCGTCAGCGCAGATTTACCCGCATGATTCTGCGTGAGTTTGCTAGAGATCCGACCACAAGTGTTAGGAGAGTTTCTGGTGCCTAGGGAATTTCAGCAAGCCATGTTCACCGTGTTTTTAGAAATAACCATAGACGTCCTTACCATTTGCAACCTATGCAAGGACTACAGCCAGGGGACGGAGAACGAAGAATCACATTTTGTCAGTGGATTCTTGATAGAACTGATAATTAAGTAACGTTTTATGGACCGATGAGTCATGCTTCACTAGACGTGGAGTGGTAAATTTTCATAATCAACATATTTGGTCGCATGAAAATCCACATGCAGTTCGGGAAAGAAATTTTCAGCATTAATTTAGTGTGAACGTGTGGATTGGTATCTACCGTAATCGACTATTTGGACCCTACCTATTGCCTGCAAGGTTAAATGCTGCGACCTTCTTGGAATCTTTAAAGGCTGAACATGCAAATATGTGGGATTATGTTATGTTAGATTTAAGAAGATTGGCCTGGTTCCAACTTGATGGTTATCCAGCTCATTATTCGAGAATAGTTAGAAACTAGCTGGACGAAAATTATCCAGAAAGATGCATCGGCCGTGGAGGACCAGTCGCCTGGCATCCACGATCCCCTAACCTAAATCCATTAGATTTCTTTGTGTGGGGATTTCTAAAAGAAAAAGTGTACCAGACTCCCGTAACCACAAGAGATATGCTAATTGACAGAATCGGGAATGCATGTGATGAAATAAGGCCTTATTTGAATAATGCTATACCACGTTCGATCATTCGCACACATGTGAATTGTGTATTGAACAATTGGGTTTACATTTCGAGCAACTACTTTAGATTTTGTATGTTTGTCCTAACTATCCAATAGCATTTTAGTTGTAAATAGTTAATTTAATTTGTTAAAAATAATATTGGAAAATTAAACAAATTAATATTGTTTTTTTGTGTTTATTTGGAGTTAGGAATTATTGCTGTGTTTAAAAACACGATCTAAACGATCATCTTAATTACTTGTAATGCCCAAATCGAAAATGTAAAAAAAAATATTATTTTCCCATAAATAATTAAAAATGCATCGAACCTTAAAAATCGAAATATCTCAAAAACGGCTAACTATAACGAAAACTCACAGCAAAAGCTTTTTTATGTTGAAAAGTGCGAAGAATCTGTTTTTTTATTCAAAAAGCAAAAAATTGCACTAAGAAAAAATTTTCGGTCATTTTAATACTCTACAGGTACAGTAGAGAGCGCCCTCTAGCGGCTACAGTAAAACTATGCACGTGGTTCGTTTTGTCGTACCAAAAAACCCTTGTATACTAATTTTCACTGTTATACATCAAATATTGTTCGAAATATTTAAAAAAAACTATTTTAGATAGTAAATTTAAACACCCTGTATTTCGGAAGCCACGCATTTTTCGACCGATGTTTATATAGACTTTATGCATTAATTTTAAAAGTTCTATCGAATCTTAAAGTTATGCAACAATAAACTGAAACACGCTGTATAATATACCTGCTAATAACAGACACACGTTAAATGAAACCTTGTAAAAAACTGATAGTTTGATATATTTATTCATATTTACACCATGCTATAAGTTCCGTCAAACATATTTTGATCACTGAATCTGTAATACATTTGGCCGTTAGCATAACAGACATAAGGTAGCATCGTCTGTGAGAAATCTGCATCTGGGAACATACGAACAAGCACTTCCATGAAGGTATGTATCTTCTGAGGGATTACCTTAACCTTCTTGTAAATGTGGTAATCGTCCTCTAAAACTGGAAGTGCCTCAAATTGACTTTCAACACCTTTTTCCGCGCTTCTTCTGGTTGCTTTGGCTTTCTCACAACATCTTTCGCAAGAAGTAGTTCGGCCTCTTAATTTCTTCTTTGACGAAGATTTTCTACTAGCCTATACAAGAAAAATATCACAAAACCACTACTAAAACTGTGAATCACCATTATTCACCATGATAGTTCTAGTACAAAGCAGGGGCGAGACTAGAAAAGATTTTTGGAGAGGGTCCATTTTATGAATCAGGAAGAGCAGCGATGGGGCTCTGCAAATTGAAAAATACATTCCAAACTTTTAACTAGGATATTTCGGGGGAGGGGGTCCGGACCCCCAGGACACCCCCTGGATAGGCCACTGACCGAAAGCAACTGGCAATCGCAGCTCAACTCGGCACACCAAAAGACCAGCTGCTGGACAGTTGCTGTAGCCGTTAGTCGATTTGCAATATCGCATAATCGCCATTGGCTGGGAGCGAAATGCATAGTGGGGAAACTGAAAAGGGAAACATCATCAGACTGATGGTGGAAGATAGGAATATTTATGTTGAATGGTTCTATGTCTAACAAGGGTGCTAATATTTCCCCATCATTTGACAGTTAAAAACAGTTTAAAATTCAAATTTTTTCTAACCTCAATTGAATAATTAAAGAGTTTTCCGTGCAACAAAAATAACGAACTTATTACCTTATTTTTATCAGTGACAGCAAGTAAAAATCACTAAAGTGAATCGTGGTAGTTTGAAAGTACTGCTGACAATTATTACAAGTTGCTAACTTTTTCAGATTTCGACGTGAATCCAACCTCAATGTTACAGAACCTTGTGAGTTCTTTACATGAAAAGGTTTGGGTAAAATTTGACATTCATCCAAAGTCGTCAAGAAAAGAATAGGCTAAAAGTCATAAAAACAAGAAACGACAGTTGGTCACAAAACCAGCAGAATCAGAATAAAAGGCTACGATGTTACATTGCATAATATATAACAAACATCAGGTCAATTTAATCCACTTAGGACATTTCTTTTTCTTGAAAAACGAACTGCGTGCACTCGCGGAGCCTCCGTAGCATTTCGAAGACACTCACCGTACATTGAAATAATATGAACAGCTCCGATGTTGTAGAAGTACGCCATTTTTTTTAAGCCGATGTGTTCTTACGTGTTCAAGTTTGATCCGATGGAGGTGTAGGACCGGATTTGGTTTTGTTTAGGTTTGTTTGATTTTGCAGAGCCTAACATCTCGCTAATCTTAAGACTTTGGCATATAAGTTACTATAAAAGAATACTTATTTTTCCAAGATATATATGCCGTGTAAAGGAAAGCCTCAACAGGACACGCTGTATTTCAACAAATTTATACCCATGTTGTTTGTCTTGGGTGGAAGTAACATAAGAAGCAACAGCCAAGCTTTGAGATAGAGAAGTAAGACATCTGCTCTTTTGAAGTGCAATAACAAACCATAAGAAAACACGTGTATAAAAAATCCATGGCACATTTGTTAGGTTGGAGACAATTAGATCGTTCCTTATCTGAGATATATATTCCATTTTTACCTTCTTATAAATTCCTTTTTCCATCCTTGACCATCCCAATACCGTTTGTACAAATTGTCTTTTAGTGACTAAAAATTATTATTATGGACTAGAAAGACAATTCTTGTTTAAGTTTATCATAGGTTGATAGTTCTGGGTAGTTTTTTTAATTTTCGAAGAAGTTTTAGGGACGACGGACGATAGTGACGTGCATGGTACATTAAAAACGCCAGATAACGACATGCTCGCTTTTCGCTTTGACGGGCTGGATGTTCTTTTGGAATCGAGAATGTCTGTCTCAGGTGGTCCTGGGTTTTACTTGTATTGAATCATAAAATTAGAATGTTGACTTTGCGGAATCTACATGTTACCTATCAGACTATTGTTGTGACACACTGCACAGGAATGTGAAAATTAAAGGGAAAATAGACAAATTAAATCACAACAAAATATATTGTCAAAAGACAGTTAGTTGTAATTGAAGAAGGTCATCGTTGAGACCGAAACATCGTACAATAAAGAGGAATTTTAAACATATGCGGTTTGATTAGGCGAGAGAAACATGAGGAATCAACAACATGAAAACCCTAGGATAAGTTTTATGACTATCCACAATCACAAATATTTTAGTGCGACATTTGCTGGCGCTATCATCGCGCACTCTACGAATAGTGCGATAAGTCGGATCTGGACAAAACACAATCTCGAATCCTAAAATTTAGTTAAATTCTTTAATAGTGTGAAAGACATTTTTGTCACAAAGTTATGTGCTTTACTTACTTCATTAGTTGCAACAGGGTCGCGTATTCTGTAAGGTAAATACATAGAGTCCTTCTCAAGGTTACTTAGCATTGTAAGCTTGGATTCTAATCTGCTAAGGAATGTGTGGTCTGATTTTTTTGTTCTGAAAAGAAAAATAACTTAATTATTATACAATAGGGAGTGATTAGTGTACTTTACAGTTGACACACTAGATTTACCCGCAATTTTAGTGTTTCCAATAAGTATTTTGGCTACTTCTGATGATTGACCATAGTTTTTACTCGGTTGCGTTAGTTCCGGAAGGGGGCCGAAAGACGACTATTTTAACATTGTCCAATTTAATCCCACGTAACTTATTCTTCATTAGTAATACAAAAAATATCCGTAAAAACAATGCATAACAAGCGTTTATCATATACCTTCATCGCTGTTCATAAAATCAAAAGCTTTGAGTAGGAAAAAATATTTTTTTTATAATGTTGAATTGGAATTCCATAAAAATAAACATTCGACCATTTATATAAATTATGGATATGATAATAATGATAATAATAATAGTAATAATAATAATACTGGAAATAAAAATTAACAAATTATAATTGCAACACCAAAAAAGGAAATAATGTTAATATCATTTATACACTTAGGTCCAAAATTATATCATAACTTTCCAACGTATATTAGAAAAAATCGAATATCATTATTAAAAACAGATTTTAATAGAGTTGTCATTGAATACTGATATAAGCATGATGTGATTTATGAAAACTCTAACATATAACATAAGTATCTTTTCCGCGTTACTAATCTATGATACAAAATTAATGTATTACATTGTAACTACAGTGTCATATGTTATATGTGTTAGAATGATATAAACACACAATCCTATGTTCCTTTTGTGGCATATCAATTTGTTCAAAATATATAATTGATGTGAATAATTATAGATATATATAGATATATATACACCTATATATATATATATATATACGAGCCCCTTCCCACTTCAGTTGGCCCAACTATTGAAATCTTAGTTTTTTTCTTATCAAACACAAATAATAAAAATGTAGCAGGGTGTTATAGGTTTAAAATATTAACAATGAATATTTTGATAATATATTGTAGAAAACACCTACTCTATCACTCTCTAATCAAATTTGCATTCCATGTTGACTGTCTAGTAGTAGTAGCAGTAGTAGTAGTAGAAAGATTTATTTAGCACATTTGGCTACATAAACAAAATAATTGTAAACAACTTAGAACTAGTAAATTCAAGCCATATGGTGTATGATGTAAATGCTGGGCAACCTATAATTGTAGATTTAACAAGTGATTTCTCAATTTTACTTTAAATTTTGTCAAAGTTTTCTGGTCTTTTATCTCCGAGTATAATTTATTATATTCAATCAACCCTTGATGGAATACAGATTTGTAGCATATGTTATACGACTTTTTGGTCATCAAATGGAAGTCATCTTTATTTCTGGTATTATGTAAATGATGGTCGACATTTGATGATGTTAAATTGGTTAGACTTGATGGAAATATATTATTTTTTACTTTATAAATGAATATCATTACAAGATATTTGAAAAATTTTTTTACATTGAGCCATTTTAATTTGCTAAGCATTTGCCTAATTGGAGTATATTTATCTTTATTTAGTATTATTCTCATGCACTTATTTTGTAAAATTTGCAGTCTTTCAAAAATGGAATAATTTGCTAAATATAGAATAGTCGAACAGTACAAGAAATTTGGAAGAATGATGGTATTATAGATAATTTTTCTGCTATATGAACTCAGACATCCAGAAACTCTCGATAAATATCCCACTTTACTACTAACCTTATTTATAACTTTTTCATAATGAATATCAAAAATGAAGAGAAAAGTGAAATTTCCAGCATCGATTATGGTCTGGGGCAGTATGTCATCAAAAGGAGTAGGAAAACTTCATTTTATTGATGGAAATGTGGATACAAACAAATATTTGGCAATTTTAGATGAATCGCTTTTACCAGTGATGGAAGAATGTTTGACATCCGGCCAAGATTTTGTGTTTCAGCAAGATGGTGCAGCGTGCCATACCTCAAAAAAGGCTATAAAATGGATGGAAGAAAATAATGTACCACTTTTGAATTGGGTTTCTAGCAGTCCAGATCTATCACCTATTGAAACTTTGTGGCACGAGATGAAAAAGGTTCTACGACAACATCCTGCTCGTACAATCACCGAAGTGAGACAAAAGCTTCAAGAAATATGGGATTGTTTTGCACCAAATTTTTGCCAAAACTTGGTTAACACTATGCCCCAAAGAATTTCAGCCGTTATAAAATATAAAGGTGATGTTACCCAATGGTAATCTTTCAATTGTTGCTTTGTTAACTTCGCGCATTTATTCGCACATTGTTTATTTGTTCAGATGTTCTATTAGTATTTTTTACGACTAGAGTGTATTTAAAATGTTTTTGAGAAAATAAATTGTTTTAGAAGTAAATAGTTTCGTCATGTTTAGTTTATAAAGGCATATTTTGGTACAAATCTTGAAGTCGGCCAACTGAAGTGGGAAAGGGGCTCGTATATCATTCGATCTTCAAAACTATGTAAACAAAATTTAGGCATACGCCTACATTAAAGGGAGCAAATAATAATACTTTGCTTATACCTTTCATCAAGACTATGAATATCAATCATCATCACAGTACTAGCTTCAGAGCGTCGAGAATGTTTCAAGTTGCGCGTTCCGTAAATGTCCGCCTGCCTATCTTCTAATTCCTTTCTCATCTTTTCCTCATGTTCTTTTTGTTTTTCTTCAATATATCGTTTAAGGCAGTTATTGTGGGCTGACTTGCATAATGTTTCTAGCTCATCTGAATGAGTGAAAGTATGCAACAAATAGAATATATATATATACAGTAGAATAAAATAACTACAGCTAGAGGAGATGGGTATTCTGATACCCAGACCAATAACAATAAGTGATATTAAGGATTCACTACTTGAGTTGATTTTCAAGCTACTTGACTTGACTTGAAATGAAGTCAATCTCAAATCAAGTGCTAGGTATTGTCAATCAGATATCATGTCAAGCAGTATTCACGTCTGTCTGTCAAGAAGCCAAGCATTCTTGGCATAACTTGATATTTTTTGTAAAATAAATACGGGTAGATTATAAATACACTAAGGCAATACGTTATTTGTCACAAGAAAACAGCACATATTGAACATCATATTTTTTTCATCGTATAACAAAGAAAAGAACGACAAGACTCTAAGAAAATGAATGATTCTAAGTTAGCCTCTTATTCGATGATAACCACGAGTGAAGTCATACGTCCGATGTCATTTGACAGGAAAAATAATATTGGTGCATTCACCACTTTTGCAAACTGGGTAAACTTCCTCCACCCTATTTCTCAGAAACTAATCATAGGATTATTTTGTGGCCATGAGAACTTCTGTGAAGAAAAGCGGGGAATACGTTATTTCCAATTTTCTGACAAATCAACTGGGGCCTATTTTCCATATATGTTTTGTGCAGTGTCCTTTGCTAACAAGGTTGGCGCTTCATTGTTTACAATTTTATATAACAAAATCAAGTTTGCATCTTTGTTGATTATTTACATTGTTGAAAAATGTTCACATGATATGAGTAGTTTCTGAAATTCGATAATAGTCTGATATACTTATTCCTTACGAATTGGAGCCACTGTTTATCTTCTGCTATACAAGAAATAATTAAATAAGTAAATGTGTGACAGAAAAGGATGACATGACCGAATGGCAGGAATAAACGCTCATGTATGGGCTGCAACTCACATAGTAAAGAATAACCATATTTATGTGAAAGACGTAGATTATTAAATAAAAATGTGCGCATGACGAAAATGTAAGAAACGCGATTTAAAAATTTTAATCCATACTTCTTGCATCCCCAAACTAAAGTCTTTGTGAATTTATTTTGTGAGGATTACCTTGGGATTGTATCAGAGTCAATCCAAACATATCCACTCCACATGTATGATTTTTCTCCTTAGCACTCTGCTTATAGCATGGTAGGGAACAAAACTGTACGTATCTGCATTTGGGGCATCTCGCTAGCTCTTTGTCTTTTTTCGATATGCATTGGAAACAAACATCATACAAGGCAAGGTCGTCCAGACCTGGTGGTGGGTACTTCTGTTTTATTTTCGAGTACTTCGTTTTGTACCTGAAGTCCACATGTTTCAGCAGACTGACGAAATTGGTGGTTGTATCAACTGGTACTTGATTGTCAGCATTTTTGCCTTTTTTTGGGTTTCTTCTTGTTTCTTGCTGACCTAGAGTAGACAGATTTTTTATTTTGAAAGCGACTTTCTGGATGTGCAATAAAATATAAGAAATACAGTTTACTTTTTTTTTGAAAACGTCTGTAGACATAATCAAATGGCCTTAATTGAAAATTACATTCGAATAATCCAAAATAATTCATGATACACTTTTTTGAGACACGTACTGATATACGGTCGAAATAACAATTTTGAGATATATTCTATTCTTTATGCTGCGTGTTTTGCTTACGCCTCTAGGTCATCCATTTTGACAAAGTAAAAAAAATCCATATTATAATTTACCTTTTTTCTTTTTCGTCATAATTTTGTACTTGTCAACGTACCCCAGCAACTTTAGGATGTTATCGTAGCTGTACCGATCTTGTATAAGTTTGCCGTAGTTGAAAAGGATCTGCAAGCAATCCACTGTGATTTCGGGGGTCAAGTAGATCACCAAATCTTTCACACGTTCTTCTTCTAACAGATTTTCCTCGGTAAGATCGTAGAGGTATTCTACAGCTTGCAACTGAGCTGCAGCTAAATCAACAATAGTGAAGTACTATACAGATTGTTTCCAAATCGCGAAACAAAAAACCAAAACTTTTCCAACATACTTTTTTAAAATAGGGTGTGAAGTGAGCCTCAGCTTGGATGAGTTAAAGAAAATTATACTTCTTTGTTTTTACTGCATAGATGACATGTTTTAGTTCCTGAATGCATTGTCCAAGATTATGCGCATTTCCACTGCCACATCACGCCAAATTTTCGCAAAATCATTATTAGTTGAAAGTATAGATTTTTCAACCTTCAGCCTCCTTTGACGGATGACCAAATGTGTATTTTTTGGCCGAATGTGGTGGAGGTTGTAAAATAAAGCAATATCATTTTGAATCTACTCTGTTCCTGGATCTGAAAAAAATAATCGTTTCACATCGACACCGTAATGTGAGGCATCAACTGGTCACTGAACTGACAAACTTTCATTCAATTGAAATGTTGCTTTAAAGACATTTTAGGACTTTCCTTTTATATACATTTGTGGCATTTTTTGTATCAGATTACCATCTCTTGACTCGCACTGTATACGTACATATGATCATCTTCCTAGTGCTCTCCTTAAGATACTGGATGATAATGTAATTCTGAGATTTTTTGTTTATTTTTGGTGGTCTAGACTTCTTTGGTGCTTTCTTCTTCGTTCCCGCTGTCTCTTCGTCCGCTGGTTTTCGAGGAGGTCGGAGTTGGAACTCCCCAAATGCTACAGCATTCTCGAACTGCCCAACGGGTTTCAGAGGACTTACGTATAACTGACACAGAAGGTGAATGATTTGTTTACATTTGGCGAGAGGTAAGATACCCTCGTACTTTTTTAAAGTGTACAGAGTAAGCACATTGCCCATATCGTAGTCTAGAAGCTTGTGGGGGTTGAAAGACCCGCTTGCTATGAAGTATTCGATGAGACTTCCATTGCCAGAGAGAACTGCTAGGGACAGTGGCGTGTGGCCAAGGTATTTATAGTGAAGGTTAGTGTTGGCTTCTACAAGAAGATCGGCTACTTTGACGAAATAGTTGCATTTGTCCGAATCATAGTCTTGGCGTAGGCATAGAAGATGCAAGGGATTTTTTCCATAGTCTTCAATATCAGCTGTGTCAACGCCAATACCTGAAAATCGAGAACATGTATCTTTTTAATTCCATCCCCTATTTCGGAAAGTGGACCTTAACGTCAAACAGAAGAACTAACATTGATGCAGCCCATACTGTGGTGAATTAAATGATAAAATCACAACCACAGCCAATTTGGTATCGAAGAAGTGATAGCTAGATTTGATTACGTTTGATTGCGCTGATGATTTCGTAGTTGGTCTAGTTTTCAAGATATAAGCGATTTAATATTAGAAAATCCACCATTTTCGTCCCCAAAAAACAATATGAGAAACATAAGTTTTAAGCTAGTAATACAGCTTTCGTTTCGACAACTGTTTCGTGCTATTTGGCCACTCTCAGCATAGTGCAGGTTCATTGGTAGCGCTCATTATCACTGATGGTATGTTTTGAAATTGCGAAAATCAGAATGCAGGAATCGAATAAGGCCCGTATCGTCAGTCGTTCCTACAATTGTATTGTGCGTTTATGGCCTCCTTGATTGTCATACTCCTTCAGAAATTTCTAGATTACACTTGTCCCGTGTCAGCGTCAGCGCTCTCCTATTGTGAAGATATGTTTTCTTTTTAAATTGTAGGAAATTTCAGGCTGACAAAACATGATACAACTCAAAAGCAAGCACAATTTGATGCAAATAAATGTTTGTGACATAACCTCAAAATAGAGCGTTGACACGGAGAAGTAGAAAACTATGACAATCAAGGAGGCCATAAAGGCGCCCTACAATTGTAGGGACAACTGACGATACGGGCCTTAAGCACGTGTTAATTGAAAATATGGTGAATGTGCATTGATTCCGCTGATGGTGTATCATCAACCATATCTTTGAAAACTTATTTTAGTTGGGGTGCAACTAGTGTAACAAATCCTATGGAAGTAGGGGGACTCTGGTTTTCCAGTGTGCATTTTTGCGAATTTCGCTGTCTCAAAACCTAATGAAAACTTCGCACATAAAATAAAAAGTTTTCAAAAATATGGTGGATGCTATACCAATAGTGAACTCGACGCACATTCACCGTACTTCCAATTAACATACAACTGGATCGAATCGTTCCAATTAGTAATTCTTATACCGATTTTCGCAGTACCAGAAAATGCCATCGGTGCTAATGAGCGCTACCAATTAACAACACCGCAGCCGCAGAAGGAATCGATTACAATTGATAATTATCTACCGATTGCGATTATCTCGATTCCTGAACCTGAACACGATGGTTTCGACACCAGCATTTACACGAGGTGTTTTAAGGGCACGCTTCTGGTAGAATCGCAGCATAAAACAGGTTGGAATGGCTGTTGAGGGGTATTAGCAGATACCCCTTCGCAAGTGCTATGTCCTTTGAGGTCTTGCACCGTATATAGGGTGATTCAAAAGTCCAGAAACGCCAAAATATTTGAGAATATTCAATGGATATGGTACAATTAAAATAGTAGCGTCTTAGGATTTTCTCCTGGTTATTTAGTGGTGACGTTGAATTTGACTATGAGCATGCACTTGAACGTCAAATTAAGGTAGAGACGATGCTTTCATGCTTTTAACCCCGGAAGCATCAGAAACTCTTACGTTGACATATGACCTTGAGTGGAAAGTACTTGGAACGTCTATCCATTTCCGGAATCAAAAGTGTAAGATGCCATATAAACAAATTGATTTGACCTCAAAGTCAAGGTCAAGGTCGGTTGTACGACAACCAGTGAATAAAACGTAAAAAATCATAAACCACTGCTACTTTTGGGTCTATATTATTGCTTTATATTGACCAGCACGTTCAGGCTCAAAACAATTTTCACTTCAGATCACAACGTGGAATTTCCCGCTCTATCCGTTGCTGAGGTCAGACGTATAGGGTCTCTTTCAAAAAGTATTGTCTTGACCTTGACTTGACCTTCAAGGTCATACTAAAGGTGATTTCAAGATCACTACTGAATAGCCAGGGAAAGATCTTAGGCCCTACTTTTTACTTTTACTATATAACGTCAAGGAACTAATAAACTGTCAACTTGTTGACTAAGTAGCTACTGGTGTGCAAATAGTTCATTCCGCGGCTGATACAAGTGAACATGAAGCGAACGATAGCTAATTCCAAGTTGATATCCTTTATGAAAACTTACATAATGTCATAAAAACCTAAATAATTTCAAAAAACCGATATAATGTCACTTTTCAAGTCACGTAATACCCCTGCCGGTATCTTTTGATCACCTTGTATGAAATCCGAACATGAAGAGTTTCCCATCAGCTATCCTACTGCTTTTGATTCTGTATACTCTGGTTATCAGCCAATAACAGAACGATGGATATAAAATTCGCATGACTGCACGGGAAATTAAAACAGAAATGATGAAATCCCTTTTGATGACTCTTGACATCTCTTATACTCCTAAATCGATTTTGAGCTCATGATCTCAGGAGGGTGGAATTCAGCTGCTGAACTCACCTAAAATTTTCATTTTTTGATCTTCCCAATGATAGATTGAAGCTTTTGCATTGGGATCAGCATATCCTGATAACAGAGCTTCACAAATCAGCGTATTATCAGAGCAGCATCTCAAGCTCGCAGCAACATGAACACAGTTCAAACCATCTTCTGTTCTTACTTGTACGTCAGCTTTTGCTTCTAACAGCCGCTTCACTAATCTATAAAATCATTTTCCTGTGTTTTTCTTTTTTTAAAATTGAAGAGGCACAGTTTTTAATGGACCGATTTTCAAAACTACAAAGCGTGTTTGTCCCTGGCATAGCAGTAATCTTGTGTATAAATTTCATCAAAATCCTACTGGTATTTTCTAAGTTATAGGCTTGCCAAGGATTAGCTTACAGACAGAGACAGACCGCCAGACAGAGACATCGCTAGACCGACAAAAAAAAGCGTGGAAAGTAAAACAAAAAAATATCGCACAGAGGTCGTCTTTTGACATTTCTGAGACACTTGCTTATTTTTGGAATTAATTTAGGATTTATCTTAACTTTTTGGTATTAATCTACTAACCCCTCTCGCCCCTGTCATTCTACGCAACTGTTTCATACATTTCTCCGTATATTCGCTCTTGAGACGATGATATATTCGATGCTTCGAGCGCAATGAAAATGGAGGTTAACCTGTCGAGAGCTAGCCGCTAGTCACTCATCGCAACGTCGTCGGATGGTGGTTAGGGCAGATGAGAAATTTCTAGGTGGAAACGTGGTTAAATGGGTGGGGACTAGATACTAATTGGGCTTATTTGTCTGACTGTATCCGTGTTATACATGTTCGTAGTTTTATCATGTAATGACACCGTACATGGATGCATCCGATGAGGCGCCTTTGTATTCTGAATCACCTTGTATACGTACTTGTCATTTTCAGTGAACGAAGCCAGAATCAAAGGGGAAAAAGGCACTTCTCCAACGTTGGGATCAGCTCCATATTCGAGCAGCTGCTCCACATTCGTTAGTTCGCTACTCAGGTGCATGTCTGGCGCTTCGAACAGCGACTGTTTGCTATCCAGCTTGCTGCCGACCTTCATTTCAGATGGCGCTCTAGCTTTAATAGTTGCTGGTGGAGTCAACGGCTTGCAGCTTAGGTCAAATATGTATTCTTGGACAGGCGTCTTGGATACCTGCATCTTGGAGCTACGTTGGTCAAGCAAAATGTGAATTAGAGAAGGTAGAAATGAGTTCATGTCCCAATGAGATTAATTTTCATGCTCCCAGATTAGTTGGTCGGCATAATCACATATTTTACTGTGATACACCACGGACGAATATTTTATGCAGATCCCCAGTAATGGTAATGTGTACCTTATTCAATTCAATCTGTAACAGAGCTGATGTATGTCATGACAGTCTTAATAAAATATTAAACATTTACAGGGAGCAATTGATATAAAATCGTTTTGTTGATGGTGTCAGTTATTGTTATTCTTCAATTGGAGCACTTTTATGTTTTTTTTCTTCTCTTTTTTTTAGAAGTGTTTAATTGTTCAAACACCTATGTATTAGTGTTCATTCAGATCACTGATGTTTTTCTTTTTTTTTTGTTATTATTTTCTGATTCATTGTCTATATATACAGGGTGACTTCGAAGTTGAGTCATTTATTTTAACAGTGAGTAGATCTGATCAAAAGAAATGTTTTTTTCCTTTACCATTTTCCTGGTAAAATTAAAGTAACAAAGTTATAGCCCTTTGGAAGTTTGAGTACCGCCCTGTCTCAATAACAATATTATGTGGTCGTGTTTGGCGACAATGGATATAATCCGCCGTATCGGTTCATCGCATCGGAAACAAAAAAGCGAAAGAATTTGGAACGATGTTTTTACAGGTATCTCATTCATTTGTATACAGTTAGTGTCAGTGAATAGTGGTATGTGTTGCGTGGCTCAAACGAAATAAAAAATGGCACATGTTTATGCGGATCGGTTTCCCAATCGAGTGCAACCAACCCCTCGTGCCTTTGTTAATGTAGTACAACGGGCTTGTGAATCAGGTGACTTAAGACCTCACAGGGGACCTCACGATCAAATACAGGTCCGCACTGAAATACTTGTCGGGAGGATACTTTATAAAACAAGGTAAAAATTTTTTTTTATTTTTTTTTTATTTTTACACACATATTTTGGTTTATCTTCCTTCTACAATCATTATCTGAAAATTAATGACTCAACTTCAAAGTATATACAGGGTTATCCAAATTAAGTGTCCACCATTAGTAACTTTGTTATTAGTGAAAATACAAAGTTGTTTGAATTAGCAAACTAGTAGCATTTTTAACGCTGGTAAAAATGAGAAATAAAAAAAAACAATTGAGAGTCGTTATTTTGATTTTTTTCAGTAAAATAACATTTTTTTAAATGGAAACCCCTGTATATTATATTTTTTTCTGTTAAAGCATCAAATTTTAAACAAAAAAGTTCATAATGACTTTTCCACTAAAGTCAAAAATAAAGTCAAAATAACGATAAATATTTTTAATTATTTGCAGTATTATAATATTAAGACGGCTATGAAAACAACATGGCGTTCGCGATTTGACAGCATTAAGATAAGCGACAAATTGTTAAACTGGACATACTCGCAACTAGAAGGCTTTGGAAAACAATGATAAAATCAAATAATGTCAAACATTAGTGTAAATACTTGTTTATAAGCTTTATTGTGTCATGAATTTAAAGAAAAATGTTCTCCCATGAAGAAAAGTGTGATATGTTAGAATGCTATTTAGTGTGCAGAAAATCCTCCTTGAGAGCAAGAGAATACTACAGTGAATTATATGTTGTCAATGTCTGTGTTGAAAGATGGAACGAATTGTGGGCGTGTGCCAAACGTTGCCAAATCACTTCAGATGATGTGATTTTCAGGATGTTATGTAAGAAATTGTTAAACCGACCAGAGGCAGTTGAATAAACTATATTTTAATTAATGGGAAATTAAATTAACAATTATTATTAAATCGTGAGAAGAGAATTATTAGATTTTGAGTGGAATGAAATTTACTGGTGGAATCGACCAAGATACAGATTCTATTTATGGTTGTGAAGAGTCAAAATTTGGGGAGATATGTAAGTTCTCCAATTTTTCGCAGTTTAGCAGATATGAGTAAATGACACTCAGTTGTTTAACATCTGTCTTTTTGTTGATACAGTTGTTATTCATGAAAATGTGGGACATTTCCAGGAATGAACGTTTGGAAAGGTGTTTTTCTTTATCAAGAACTTTGATACTTGTGTAGTTCATAGAATGCCCTGTTGTGTTAACATGAGATGCTAGAGCGCATCTTTCAGGATGAAGCCTAGAATCACTTTTGTGTGATGTAATCCTTCCTTTAAGAGATCTGGAGGTCTGACCTATGTATATTTGGTTGCAGTTGTTGCAATTGATGGAGTAGACTGCGTTGGTTAAGCCAAGCAGCGGGACTTTGTCTTTCATTTTTGAAAAAATGCAGTTTATAGTGAGGACGGATTTGCAAGCAATTCGAAAGTTCAAAGGACTGCACAATCTGATCAGCTTGGGGGTCAGTTCCTTGATATAGGGCACGACAGCAAAACCAGGTCTGGAGTCCGGGTTGGTGCTTGTACTGTTTGGATTGATGCTATTATTGGGAATTACATCAGTTCCGTTATTAGGGGTTGTGCGACTATTACCTGCATCATCAGAGTTCGGCAAAACATTGGAAGGTGAACTAAATAAGATCTTGTTAATCAGACACTTCGGATAACCATTATTGATGAACAGATTTGACAGTTTACGTAAATTCGTTTAGCAGATTAACAAATTAACAAATTGAATATGTCAGGACGCGGAAAAGTCCCGATCTGGCAGGGCCGGCCTACAATTTCCCGTCGGTCGGTTCCACAGGTTATTGCGAAAAGGGAATTATGCTGAACGCGTCGGTGCCGAAGCTCCCGTATATCTAACGGCCGTTATGGAATACTTGGCCGCTGAAGTTTTGAAATTGGCAGGCAACGCTGCTCGCGACAATAAGAAGACCCGTATTATTCCACGTCATCTGCAATTGGCCATCAGAAACGACGAAGAATTGAACAAACTGCTTTCAGGCGCCACAATTGCCCAAGGAGGAGTTCTCCCTAATATCCAAGCTGTTCTTTTGCCGAAAAAGACGAAGAAGAAAGCCTAAAAAAAATCTTCTGAACATACATATATACACACATATATATATATATATATATATATATATATATATATATATATGTGTGTGTATATATGTATGTGAATATGTATATATATATGTATACATTTGTATATATGGTACCATTTTGTTTTGATTTCACTAATTTCCTGTGATTGGGTGCATACCTGTTGGAAATAAATATAGTATTACTATTATTATTATTATTATTATTATTATTATTATTATGAGATCCCATGCTTCAAATCGTCACCATAATGCAAGTAGCTTATGTCAAAAAAGTAATTTTACAGGAATAGCTTGTCGCCTTGAATAAAAGTCGTTTATTATTATTATATTTTGTTTTACATGCTAAAAAATAAAAAAAATTCTGACTTTTCCCAATGACATCAAGAAAAACATAATTTTGTTCAAAGAGTTACTAACATCACTAAGTTCAACTTGCGTCCGTACCTCAATTTGAAACTTCCAGCAAATAGGCTTACTCTCACCTAAAAAGGGTCTGACCATGTAAAAGAGATGAATACGGTGACGATATATTGTAGAAAGGATATTTTCAGAAAACCATTTTTACCCAATATGTATATATACAATCATGATTTTGAAATATACTCTTTTACAGTTTGTACCTACTGTGTATTATTAGCTTACTTGTTTCATATGCTGTATGTCTGTTTTTTTGACTATATTCCTATATTACTTTGTAGACGCAAGGGAATAAGAATTGATTATTTATTTTTCAAGTTTTGCATTTAGAAACATAGTAGGCCGCGCGGATTGAACGTCAGTACTGAATCTTAACCTCACTCTTTAGTAAACTTAAATTCAAAGTTTCACAACAATACGTGCAGTGTTCTCGCTACAGTTGATTTTTAAGCGTCACCAAGTCATTAGAAAAATGGAACTCAACCGAGAACATTTTCGCGCCATAATTTATTTCAACTTTCAGAGACAATTATCGCAACAAGAATACCTTGCTGAGTTACTGTCTATTTTCGGCAACGAAGCGCCACATCAGTCGACAATTTCCCGTTGGTATGGAGAATTCAAACGTGGACGGGTGAGTCTTAGCGACGATCCCAGGGTGGGTGCACCAAGAACGGCAGTCACCCAGGAAAACGTCGATGCTGTGCGCAGACTCATCATTGAAGATAGACATGTGACATATCGCGAGATTGAGGCGTCCTTGAAGATCTCAAAGACCTCAATTCAGAAAAAATTACATGTAGAATTAAGAGTAAGAAAATTAGTTTCTCGTTGGATACCCCATCTGTTGACTGAAGATCAGAAAGCAGCCAGGGTTAATTGGTGTCAAAAAACGCTTGATCGCTTCAATTCCGGAAACTCAAAAAATATGTAGAGCATTGTTAGTGGTGATGAATCGTGGATTTACTGTTATGAACCAGAAAATAAACGACAGCCGGCTGTTTGGGTGTTCCAAGGTGAAGAAAAGCCAACAAAAGTCATCCGTTCTCGAAGTGTTTCGAAAAAGATGGTCGCGACATTTGTGTCAAAAGCGGATCATATTGCAACAATTCCTCTTAATGAGCAAAGAACTGTTACCTGCGGATTGGTATAACACCATTTGTTTGCCGAGCTTCAAAAAATCAACCCCGAAAGAAGTATCATCCTCCACCAAGACAATGCAAGCTCGCGCACAGCCCAAAAAACAAGGCAGTATTTAACGGAAGAAAACGTGGAATTATTGGACCATCCTCCATATAGTCCCGAACTAAGTCCTAACGATTTCTTTACTTTCCCGAAAATTAAAAACAGACTGCATGGTCAAAGGTTCCAGTCACCAAAAGAAGCAGTTGACGCATTCAAAAATGCCGTTTTGGATCTGCCAGCAAACGAGTGGAATAAGTGCTTCGAAAATTGGTTCAAGCGCATGCAGATGTGTATTAATCTTCGTGGAGCATACTTCGAAAAACAATAAAGTCATTTAAAACTACCTACCGTGTTGTTTTATTTCCATATGCAAAACTTAAAAGACATCCCTCGTAATGGTATATTCTCAAACGGTCGAAAATGATAATGTTGAAAATAGTTTTTCTACCCCCTCTGGAAACATACGCAGCCTAGTAAAAGTACAAGTAGTCATAAATTCTTTTTAGAAACCCTATAAGTGCGGAAAAATCTAACGCGTCATCCCTAAGTAATTATCCCGTATCAAATAGCATTGACTTTAATCATTTCTGCACAGAAATTCCGAAGTTCCAAGATAAATAATAAATAGCTCTATGATAACTATCAATAACCGAAGTCGTTGAATATATAAAATATGTTTTTCAAAGATATACTAAGGGCTTTAAGTGAGACTCTAACCTCTGTCAGTGCTATGCAGGTAGGGGTTATTATTCTAACATCTCACTTACACAGTAGCTATATTAGCCGTCGAATAAAGCAGTTTCTTCTTGCTACGAGTTCCTCCAGCCAAACTGGTGGTAGAATAGTTCACACCATATCGCTCCTCCTCTTCTTTGGACAGCGGTCCAGGCGGTACAAAAGCTGCTTCCCAGTCTACAATCTCAAGGAACAATGGTATATCAAATACTGCAAACTTCCCGAGTGAATAAAACCTTTTTTAAATCACATGAAAGGAATGACGGTAAAGATAACAGTTTTTCTCCATGAAGCCACAGAAATCGAACTAGATTATACTAAGTGACATATAAATCCGAACACCCAGTTTAAATGGTTTTATTTTAATAAAAGTTGGTGAATGTATTTATCTTACTGTAAATAACAAGTGAAAAAATTTTCAGCCTTATCAGTTGGACATTCCGGTTTTTATACTGCTTTTTTTTAATTCACTAACGCTCTAAAAATGAATATTTCAGCCGCAGTAAAGAATCAACGTTGGCGGATTTTGGTTCTTGACATCCTTTACGATCGGTTACGATGCCTAGAGTACGGAGACCTGTACGATTTCGTCAACTTAGTGAGTTTGATAGGGGCCGCATAGTGGGACTTCGGGAAGCTGGACTGTCTTTTCAAGCAATTGCAGTTAGAGTGCAAAGAAGTGTAGACACTGTGGTTAGGTGTTGTCAGGCATGGCTTCGAGAAGGCCGTGCGCAAAGAGCAAGGAGCACTGGACGCCGCCGTAGAACAACAGACCGTGAAGATCGCCGCCTAAGATTATTGGCCTTAAGGGACCGTTTCTCCACTACCAGGTCCATTGCAAATGAACGGTTTGCAGAACACGGAAGACCTATTGGCATGCGAAGTGTTTACCGACGAATGAGAAGTTTTGGCTTGTTTTCATACCGGCCACACTGGGTCCTCCCTTTAACTCGAGAACACCGACGTAATCGCCTTGAGTGGAACAGTATTGTCTTTAGTGACGAGTCTCGATTTTGTTTAGGCATGCACGATGGTCGTGCCAGGGTTAGAAGGCGACGTGGTGAAAGGAGGAATCCACAGTTTTTTGTTGAAAGACATGTACATCATCAGAGGTAACATGAACGCGCAGCGTTATATCCACGAAGTTCTAGAACCCCATCTTTTACCCTATCTTGACACCCTGGCAGATCCAACTTTGCAACAAGATAATGCCCGACCACATGTTGCAAGAGTCACAATAGACTTCTTTCAACATAATGATGTCACATTGTTACCATGGCCACCAAGATCTCCCGACTTATCCCCAATTGAGCACGTGTGGGATATGATGGGTAGGAGATTGCTCAATTTGCAACGTCCTCCTCAGACTCTAGAAGCACTTCGAGAGGAGTTGGTGGTTGCCTGGAATGAGATACCACAGGAGGACATTGACCACCTGATCAGAAGCATGCCTAGGCGCGTTGGAGGGTGCATCCACACATTATTAAACATCAAAGGGCTTTAAAGCAGTGCAATCATTTTGAAATTTTTATTATTTACTTATTATGCTTCATTAAGTACTTGTACAAAATTTTATTAAAATAAAACCATTTAAACTGGGTGTTAGGATTTATACGTCACTTAGTATATTCGCTTGTTTTCTTTCCGTCATCTATTCAGGAATGAAATAGCTACATCGGTCAGATTTTATAAAGAAAAACTAAAAAAATCATAAAAGTACTTTGTATTTCCAGGCCAAATAGTGCAGTAAGCACAAATTCAGCGGTGTGAGCCCTTCATCGTTGACGGCATCCAAGTTGGCTCCAAAGTTGATCAGCGTCTTCAGTATTGAAGTCCTACAGCAACAAGTCGCGTAAAAAACTGCAGTGTTGCCACATGCATCCGCCACATTGACGTTTACTTTCTTCCCGCGAATGTACTCGATTACTTCCAGTGAGTCACCCTGGGTGCAGATTTTGAGGAAATCACGACAGTTCATTTCATGTGGGCCTGTAAACATATATGCACATAACAAAAACGCATAGCAAATTGATTTGCCTTCAATCGCTTTTCCATACAAGTGTAAAATTGGAGCAGTGTAATCCTCAGTTAGGCCTGGTTTTCCAGTTGCAGGTTACTGTGATTTTACTGCTCATCAGAAAATACCTTGTTTTTCAATGCTCTTATTTTGCTGCTGCCTTATGTTCCTCCTTATTCTGGACTTGCGCAATAACGACTTCTAGTTTATCAAAATAATGTATACAATGCATACACTGTATACGATGTTTACGATGCATAGGATGTATACGATGTATACAATATAAACGATGTTTACGATGCATACCATGCATACGATGCGTATGAATACGATGCATAGAATGTATACAATGTCTGCGATGTATACGATATATACGATGTATACGATGTATATGTTGTATACCATGTATGTATACGAAGTATACGATGTATACGATGTATACGATGTATACGATGTATACGATGTACACGATGTATTACGATTGCGATTTATCAACTTTATATACATAGTTACAGTTTTAAATATATTAGTAACACCTCTAAAATAAAATAAAATACATTCTGGAAACAAAATCCACCTATTTGACTGATTTCATTCGGCGTCGTCAGCATCGTCAATAAGTATTTGAATTGGCAAGACCATTATCGGTCAACCTTAACGAGCCATACACATGCTTTCTTAATATACTTCTTACTATACTTTCTGATTTGATGTATGCTTAGTTTGCTAAGTCCAGCAAGTAGAAATTGGTAAAATAGCGGTTTGCATATTACGATGCGACAAAGGTTGACTTACCTCTGCGATTGTATTTCAATTGGACAAATTTTTCTTACAGAAGCTGCAATCGACTAAATATTCGCTTCCATCTCAAATTGCTTGAAATATGTAAACAGTATTTTTGAATACCTACAGTTCTGTCTAGTAATTACTAATAAAATGCTGTCCGACAATTGGAAACTAGGCGGCTAACTAGTAGCACCTTCTGTCCTACTAAATTCTATTACAAAGTCAAATATAATTATTATCCTACCTGAATCATTGAATCCCTTCCTTTCCTGACCTACTACATTGGAGACAAGGAAATTAACCATGCTTTCCGAATGTCGATGTATGAAGCCATGCTTTACCATCTGTTTGCAGATTTCTTCATTATTCCAAGCTAGCAGCTTGTCCACGATTACCCTTTTTGTATTTCTTGGAGGCATATTAACAGCATCCAAATGCCTATCAATTACAAAATACCTCTACATTTTCTATATGTATTGAAATGCTATGGGGATGATCAAGAGACTGTAAGGTGTAAAAAATTTCCGCGTGCCTATTGTTAAACAAATTCCGAGTCTGTCGCTATAAAAAATGACAAGGGCGTTGTATATGCATTATGTATACTAAGTGACATATAAATCCGAACACCCAGTTTAAATGGTTTTATTTTAATAAAATTTTGTATAAGTACTTAATGAAGCATAATAAGTAAATGATAAAAATTTCAAAATGATTGCACTGCTTTAAAGCCCTTTGACCTTTAATAATGTGTGGATGCACCCTGATGTGCTACGCATTCTCCAACGCGCCTAAGCATGCTTCTGATCAGGTGGTCAATGTCCTCCTGTGGTATCTCATTCCAGGCAACCACCAACTCCTCTCGAAGTGCTTCTAGAGTCTGAGGAGGACGTTGCAAATTGAGCAATTTCCTACCCATCATATCCCACACGTGCTCAATTGGGGATAAGTCGGGAGATCTTGGCGGCCATGGTAACAATGTGACATCATTATGTTGAAAGAAGTCTATTGTGACTCTTGCAACATGTGGTCGGGCATTATCTTGTTGGAAAGTTGGATCTGCCAGGGTGTTAAGATAGGGTTCTAGAGCTTCGTGGATATAACGCTGCCCGTTCATGTTACCTCTGATGAAGATTAAAGGTGACCTGGAACCATAAGCTATAGCACCCCAAACCATAACTCCAACAGTGTGATGAACATGTCTTTCAACAAAAAACTGTGTATTCCTCCTTTCACCACGTCGCCTTCTAACCCTGGCACGACCATCGTGCATGCCTAAACAAAATCGAGACTCGTCACTAAAGACAATACTGTTCCGTTCCTGATCCCAGAGTGACCGTTGTCTGCACCACTCAAGGCGATTACGTCGGTGTTCTCGAGTTAAAGGGAGGACCCAGTGTGGCCGGTATGAAAACAAGCCAAAACTTCTCATTCGTCGGTAAACACTTCGCATGCCAATAGGTCTTCCGTGTTCTGCAAACCATTCATTTGCAATGGACCTGGTAGTGGAGAAACGGTACCTTAAGGCCAATAATCTTAGGCGGCGATCTTCACGGTCTGTTGTTCTACGGCGGCGTCCAGTGCCCCTTGCTCTTTGCGTACGGCCTTCTCGAAGCCATGCCTGACAACACCTAACCACAGTGTCTACACTTCTTTGCACTCTAACTGCAATTGCCCGAAAAGAAAGTCCAGCTTCCCGAAGTCTCACTATACGGCCCCTATCAAACTCACTAAGTTGAGGAAATCGTACAGGTCTCCGTACTCTAGGCATCGTAACCGATCGTAAAGGATGTCAAGAACCAAAATCCGCCAACGTTGATTCTTTACTGCGGCTGAAATATTCATTTTTAGAGCGTTAGTGAATTCAAAAAAAGCAGTATAAAAACCGGAATGTAAAAACTGATAAGGCTGAAAATTTTTTCACTTGTTATTTACAGTAAGATAAATACATTCACCAACTTTTATTAAAATAAAACCATTTAAACTGGGTGTTCGGATTTATATGTCACTTAGTATATTTTATATGAGTCATCTTTTATACGCTCTGGTATATGTACTATTTGCCAGCTATGAGAACCCTTGTACCCTGATATAATGCCGTGAATGAATAGTAAAAAAGTGTTGATTTGACAAAAATTAAGATTATAGATTTCAAACTAGCACGATTTGATTCAACTCTCTTACGATCCAGTATGTTTACTATAGGGTGGCTACGGGGGCCCTTACAGCTGGTCATGTAATACGTATATAATGTTTGTGATTGAAGAAAAATTATTTTCAGTTTGATCCTTCCTCTGATAATCGAGGACAACTTCTGATAACTAAGAGCATTTCAGACAAATGTCAGCCATTACGCGATCTGACTTGAGTATAATTTTTTAATAACCTTTGTAGCTTTGGTTCCAGATTTTCTACCAAAGTGCGATAGAACAACTCATCTCTCTGTAAATCCTTTTGCTGGGCTTCCAGAACAGCCAAATTGTCCACATCAAACTCTTCGTCGCAGAGGCAGCATAGCGTATCAAGGTATTCCTTTGTCGAAGATACAGACGTAGACGATTTGCGTGATTGTGTTACAATACTTTGACTGAGCATGCTGATGTCAACAGTATCAAATGTCAGCAATGATAGATCGTGGACGGACGTATCGACGGCTAGCACGGTGTCTGTAGTCACTAAGAAGTTCAAAAGGTATGTATGCCAATATTAAGATTGAGATTATTGTACTAAGACATCTATCTACTAGGGCGGATTTAGAGGGGGCGTGGTCTCCCCTTGACGTCCAAGTTTGCCATTTTTACAAGAAAATGGTTACAAAAATTACCCTGTTAGAACTAAATCTCCCCCCTTCCTCCCCCCCCAAGACAAACTTCTGGCCTAAACATGAATGCTGCAATCACCCCTCTTATAAAGCTTCCTAAATCAGCCACTTGAGAGTGATAGGAGATATATTAAATATTACAAAAAATGTGGGCTTTTTCGAACTGACCTCCCTTATTACGAGGGTTGATCTCTATGCTCCACCCCTAACCTTTTTGCAGATGCTTATTTGTTTAAAGTTGTTGACATTAAAATAAGTAATACGTTACCAAAATATTAAGTTTTTCTGCAAAACTGTTTTGGAGTTATTTGCGTTTTAATTGATGACAGGGCAGAATATTAAAAAATTGCGTGACGGGGTGTTGTATAGGGGAGACCGGGGCTGGTTGTCACATGGGTTGGTTTTCACAATTGTTAAACCTCAGCAGCTCCCCAAGATGTAGTTGCCTGGCGCGCTACACGTCGTTTCTGCGTCCGCGCAGAACACTTGTATTCAGTACGAAAGTTGTCGCTGGTAGATTAAGGTCGCACACACAAAAATAAACAAATCGCCTAACCTGAGTAAATTTTTCGTTTGCCACATAATATGTGTTTTCAAGACTACATTTGATAATAAAAAGAACTGTTGAATTTATTTTGCTCTTCAATAATCCGAATACGACTTAACGTAAGTATTGACTTTGAATTTGTTAATTTAGTGACGATATCTACCCTTAAAAATTAATTATCTAGTGGGGCAGGTTGTCTCAAATTATCGGGGGCCTCTTGTCACATGGGACAACCAGCCCCTACACTAGACGATTAGCTTTGCACATCATTCTACGTAGGTATATGTATATAATGTATTTTTTTAATATATTCAGGTTACATAAGCATGGTTCGAAATTTCAAAAGGAAGACTGAGAAGGGCAAAGCGCCGCCTGACGTAGTTTTAAGAGCTGCTAGATTAGTGAGATTAGGATCCTCAATAAGAAAAGCGGCAGCTGTCTTCAATTTAAATTACCGTACTTTAGCAAGATACTGTAAGAAAATTCCACAGTCTGAATTATTTGATGATCGAGTTCTTGCGCCGTCAATTTCAGTTGGCTACATCAAAAATCATTTAGTATTTGCGACTGAACTTGAAAATCATCTAGTGAAATATGTACTCAAAGCATCTGATATTTATTTTGGATTATCACCCAAGGAAGTACGTGGACTGGCACATGAGTTTGCTAATACTAATTCCTTGAAAATGCCGGAAAATTGCAGCCCCATAAAACAGCTGGTCCTTACTGGTTTAGTGCGTTTCTAAAGCGTCATCCTGTACTGTCTATTCGCAAACCGGAAGCAACTAGTTTAGCAAGAGCCAGTAGTTTCAATAAAACGAACGTCAACGCATTTTTTGATAATTTAGCTTCAGTTATGGAAAAACAAATTTGAGCCTCACGAAATCTGAAACATGGACGAAACTGGGATTACAACTGTATAAAGACCCGACCGCGTTGTTGCCAGAAGAGGATTCAAACAGGTTGGTTCGATAGTTTCATCAGAAAGAGGAACTCTTGTTACTTTAGCAAGTGCAGTATCAGCTATTGGAAATTCCATACCTCCTTTTTTCATTTTTCCACGGGTACAATTCAAACCACATTTTTTAAATTCGGCTCCTCCTGGCTGACAAGGTTCTGCAAACCCATCAGGTTGGATGAAAGAGTCACATTTCTTGGAGTGTCTTAGATTTTTTCACCTTCAAGTGAAAAGTACTGTGGAAAGACCGTGCCTGCTTTTACTAGATAACCATGGATCACATCCGAGTATAGAAGGACTGAATTTTGCCAAAGCAAATGGTATTGTCATGCTCTCCTTTTACCCTCACTGTTCACATAAACTTCAACCTCTTGACCGCGCCGTTTTCGGCCCTTTTAAGACATATGTAAATACTTCCTGCGATGCTTGGGTTTTAAGTAATCCCGGTAAGACCATGACTATATACGACATACCTTCAGTGGTCTCTATTGCATACCCCCTCGCATTTACTCCCAAAAATATACAGACTGGATTTCGGGTGTCGGGTGTGTTTCCTTAGATAGATATTTTCACGGATGATGACTTTCTTGCGAGCTCTATCACTGATAGGCCAGATCCGGGTATCTTGAACAAAGCAATAACTGGATCAAACCCGGAAACCTTAAACGAACAGGAAGTTGGGCCAAATCCAACCATCTTGAACGAAGATGAAACTGTAAGGTCTGATAAATATTAACACGCAGGAAGCAATAGATAATATACGAGATAGCAACACAGCTAATCAAACTAGTTTTGTGATGATCCCTGCTGTAGTAGTTTAGTAAGGCTGCATACGGGAAATATAGTACTTCCAGAAAGTTTAAGACCTTATCCGAAGGCATCGGCAAGAAAAACTACTCACTGACACTCCAGTAAAAGACCAATTAGAGAAAGAGAAAAATAAATGCTGGAACAACAAAAAGAGGAACAGGAAAACAGTGAAAAGAGACGTTTTTGATTCAGAAAAAAAAATTAAGAAATCTAAAAAAATTTAAAAACGCAAGTCCTGTTCAGATAATGAAACTGATGGATAAGAATGTTTTTGCTTGATTTGTCTTGAACCATTTTCTAACAGCGCGCTAAATGAAGAATGGGTGAAATGCTCATCGTGTAATGGTTGGTCTCATGATGCGTGCACTGATGGACGCGAACTTTACATGTGTCATAACTGCGATAGTGACTAATTGTAAAAAAAACACTTCTACTTTTTTCTCAAAGATTTGGTGTTTAATAAGCATTTTTTGTAATAATAAATATGTTTAAAAGTATGATATCATACTTTATTAATGATCTAAAATATACATGACAACCAACCCCAAGCAATGTGACATCCAGCCCCAGCAAGGGTCAAGTTGACACATTTGTTTCTGTATTTTGAAACATTTTAATTTAATATTGTGAATTATTTTACAGCCTTATCGATTTTACATAGTGTTCCCAAAGGATAAACCATATTAGTTATGCACCAAATATGTGCATATAACGCTTCAGATCGAATAAAAAAAGAATTACTGAAAATTGTGACAACTAGCCCCGGTCTCCCCTACTCGTACCATTTACTAACTAAATGTACATGCGAAGTTCAACAAGCTGAATTACAAACTAATTTATAAGCTATCCGAATGACGTTATAGAAGCAACGTACCCATCAAATGAATAATAACAGTGGTTAGGTAGAGTTCTCTTGGCAAACCTGGAAAAACAGCGACTAGACAATTTCAGAATGATGTTCTCTATTTGCTTTGACGATTAAAACACATTATATGTTATTCTTAGTTATAGTTTGTGGCAAGTACGAATTCCTGAGGTAATTAAGTTTACGTAATGCACGGGTGTTATTTCTTCAGAGGTTACGTGTTCGTCTATTCTCTAGGCGCTGAAGAAAGAAACTAAACCCAAACAAATACACGCATATTGCTCGTGAGTGAGTGTTTAGGCGCAGGAGACATTACAGGATCGCATCAAGATATTATGGGTAGTCATCAAAAATTTCATACAAGATAATTATTATCTTTTACAGTAAATTTCAGTTAGAGATTCACAAATGAGTTAACTACACTTTTTAGTTATTAGTAAGTAAGCTGCGCGCACTCATTCAGAAGAGGAACTTGAATCTTCTGAATCGTTTAAATGAATTATTAGAGGTTCAATTTGGGTATCGATGACATTGTCCAAATCCCACATTTTGACCTCAACCTTCTCCCGAACGTGGCGGATACAGTTTTTCCATTCCTCTGCCGTAACTCTATTGACTGCGATGTGAAAGAGATTTTTAACATCAGAAAATTTATAAGTATTATTATTCGACGCCACGTATTGCTTTATGTTGGCCCAAATCAGCTCAATAGGGTTCAGCTCACAATGGTAGGATGGCAGTCTCAAGACAGTTTTATTTTGTTTTTCGGCCATTTCGTCGATCATTTTAAAATCGTATTTGTATTTATGTCTATTGACTATACTTATCAATTCACCCTTGACCATTGTTTCATCAAAATCGATCTGTTTTGAGGCCAGCCATTGTTGTATGTTTGCTTTTTTAGTTGCCATTGTGGGAATTTTTTCTATTTTTCTAGAATGGTACGGGGCATTATCCAGTACAATAACAGCGTTATTCTCCAGCTTTAGTAACATTTTGGAGAACCAATTTTCAAAGGAATTGCCGTCCATCTCCTCATGATAGTCCCCTGTCTTTTTTGATTCAAAGGCCCACAGTGCTTCGGGAACAAAGCCGTCTTCACTACCTACGTGACAAATGATCAGCCGTTTGCCTTTTCCTGGAAATAAATTATTCCTTACACTATGGATTGATTAAATTTGAAGGAATGAGGCAATTGAGTTCATTTAGCTGAATTTAAGAGTCACGGAATGCTGATCAAAAACTGAAAAACATAGAAAATTGAAGTTTGCAACTTCTCAAAACCCATTCAAAGCAAATTGACTGCACCCAAAAATGATAATAAATTTCAAAATAACGCTTAAAAGAGGGTCGAAGTTTTTTTCCTAATGACTACACTGCGAATGCACCATTTTTGGAGAATATCACACATTATCTGCTATCACAGCATATTATTTGCCCGAATTTATCAAAATTAAATTGCCGGATAGATGAAGGAGCTTACCTGCAGGATTTTTCAATCCAGCCGAAAGACCGTCTAGAAAAGCCTGCCTTGATGATGTTACTGATTTGTCGACCCAAACTTTCGCTTGAGTATGTCCAGCATTCACCCACGTTTCGTCCAAATAGTAAATTTTTCTTTTTTCATCGCGAAACTTCCGAATCTTCCTAAGGTATTCCCTTCTCCACACAACAATTTCTTCTTTCTCTATTAACATACTGTTTCTTCCTCGTTTCAAGAATCGAAAATTAAGTTCCTTCAAAAGTTTTCGGAATGTGGTTCTTTTAAATGATGGAAGATCCTCATCAGCATTAACTAATCTTAATATCTTATCTACTGTAGGTATCTCATTTCGGAAGAAAAAATTATGCACTTTCCTCCCGATGGCAGTTCTGTCAAAGTCATCTACTCCGTCCGTTATCCTTTTTCTTGCAGGATACGGTTTTGGCTCAGAAAGTGAGTGAGTGCTCCTATATTCCTTAATGATCCTATAAACACTGGACCGACATACTCCAGAAATATGTGCTATCTTACATATAACTTCGTCCACGACCAAATCGGGTTTTTCTTGAATTTGGTTTTTGTATATATTTAATATTATTTGTTTTTCATTTGCACTTAAATGTAGCTACTTAGCCCTTTTTTTGGGTGGGGTTGCGCTGATGTCAACCACTTCGTCGGCTGTATCTGTGTCAGACATAGTATCTTAGGCAATATATAAACAAAACGTTCCACTCGCGAAAAACGAGTATACGCTACTGAATGCGTAATGCGTATGCAATGCAATCCTGTGCGTGAATTAAGTGTTAGATGCCTGTCGTGTCATCTACAATCACGTTTACAAGTCCAAACCTGTGCAGATTCGTAGAGCGCTGACGACTGCTAGTGACCTTGAATTTGTCTGTAGATCGATGTTACTCCAGTCAATTTAGGTTCAAAGTGGATGTTTTCTAAACCAATTTGTTGTTCCTACATCAAAAATATATCGATGATGTTTTGTACTGGGAGCTCATGAAAGATCAAGGTAACTTATTTTAACAGTCATCCTTTTTCTAGTCTCAAGATGACACGAAAAAGGGTCTGTGGATTCACTAGAAATACACTGCCGAGGATGTTTAGACCTAAAGTGACTGGAGTATATCCGTGGATGCTTTCGAGGGATCTGTTCACGTGCTGATCACTGTTTACGTTTAATGTCTTTCTTCAGCGCCCAGAGTATAGATTTCTGCGCACACATAGAAACAATTCACAAGTATAAATTGATGGAATTGGTAAAATATTTAGTGTCTTGAAAATATTTCTGCGGGTTGATACATACAGTTACCTATTATGCAAACAATCTCAAAATTGCGAGATGCTTCTGGAAGACAAACGTTGGAGGAAGTTAACTTGTTACTTAATCAGGATAATGGTCTCAGCTATCCTGCATTACTATGGCTGCCCAGTGTTACTAGGCCTACCAATTTTCGGGAAATCTAGCGATTATTCAGTACCTCAACTTACATGAAATTGACAATTCTAATACTACAAATTGTGTATCCGGAAATAAAGTTGTTATTATTATGAAATAAACGCTAAGTTTAAGATCCAGGAAACAGAATTTTTTTAGAAACCAGCGCCAAAAGACATTTACATGAAGTAAATGAAAAGAACTTTTGAGTAAAAAAAGTCGTTGGGACATTTACGGAAAAATTCTGCTATAATCTATGTAGATGTATGGGTACTTTTCACCCTTCTCTAACCCTTTTGGGCTTTTTTGTAAAAGGACCAGCAGAACACATGTGTTTCAAACTTCATTCAAATCGGACTATCGGTTCCAAAAACATCTGTTAAAATCTGTTTTAAAAATAAAACTTTGACGACCTCTAACGGACACACGAAGTACTTTCAATCGACCTGTTTTGAGTCTAAAATATGTGGTACTTCCATGTCCACAGAACAGTGGGACAACCTGTATAAGTACTCGTAAGAGCTTATTTTCTCTTATTGTTAGTTTTCTATCAAAAAGACAATTCCAGGAACGACCGAAATGAAATCATTTAGCTCAAAAACCCCCGCGAAAAGATCGGGGAATAATAATCATTTATTATACAAGGGAAAAAAGTTCTAGATTTTAGCTTGAGGTTGTATTGTCGGGAGTATGTTTCCCGTGTATAATACACATTTTTTTCTGTGACGGGAAAACGACGACTTAATATTGAAAAACTATATTATTACAATGTTTATGTCAGAAAATTATCGATCTGAAATTTGAATTTTGAAATTAGTATCCTATGTTGTACTTATAGCGGAATTAAACCTGCGTTGCCAAGGAAACTTTTAAAGTCATCAAATAGCTGTCAATTTAATGTTGTGGTTTGACTTAGGCCCGTATCGTCAGTCGTCCCTACAATTATTGTAGGGCGCGTTTATGGCCTCCTTGATTGTCATACTCCTGTCTCTCCTTCAAAAATTTCTAGATTACACTTGTCCCGTGTCAGCGTCAGCGCTCTCCTATTGTGAAGATATATGTTTTCTTTTTAAATTGTAGGAAATTTCAGGCTGATAAAACATGATATAACTCAAAAGCAAGCACAATTTGATGCAAATAGATGTTTGTGACATAACCTCAAAATAGAGCGCTGACACGGAGAAGTATAAAACTATGACAATCAAGGGGGCCATAAAGGCGCCCTACAATTGTAGGGACGACTGACGATACGGGCCTTAAAAATTGTGAACCGAGTGGTTGCTTAGAAGTTGCTTTTAACTATAAAGTAAAAAATGTCTGAATCCGAGGTTTTTTTGACTCCACCGTAATTAGTAGAAGTAGCCAAAGTAGCGTCACAAAAAATATTGCCAGTTAAATCGTTTATACATTATCCGAAAAAAATTAATTTCATAAAAAGTAGAATAATACATAAAAATAAAAAGTGTCAATTTGTTGCCTGTCAAACTTGTTTCCCGTCACATAAAAAAAGGTATTTTTGACCGATCTAGACCAACGTGAGCCGGGACGAATTATCTTTAAGCAGTCATTGGAACATTACGTGGCCAAACATCAATGCCTTGATCATCGGAAGCCTTCGTCAGCAACGACCTTTGAGAGAAATTATTCTCATCTTCCTGAACAGTGTTCTCTTCTTCGACATAACAGCAAGCTCTACAGAATTCAATCTTCTCGGTTATTGCTCTCAGATCTTCTCGAGCTTGCACAAGCTTCGGTCTAACCTCGTTTATCGTGTTGCTTAAGAGTTCTATCCTTTTCTGATGCAACTCCAACAGTATGTTATTCTTTCCGTCTGTTTCTCTAACTAAAGTATGTGTAGACAGATGTTTGTCGCGAGTCTGTGGTTTTTCTACAACTTCTATCTCACAGTCGTTGTTTGGAAAGAAATACTCATCGTACTCGTAGTTGTTGAAGAAGACGTTGTTTCGGTCTTTCACTTGAGTCGAATAGAGCACGTCTGACTTGTCCACAAGTTCCTTGTCAGCTCCTAGATTGATCATGATGTCTTTGGCTCTATTCATTCTTTCATGACAAACGTGCACCAAATGCCTGCAAGAAATCTTTTATAGGCCTGATTTTTCTAAGCCGGGAGCAAAAAAACCTATCGGTCAACCGATCAGAAGGCTTCTCCGAAGTAGTGGATCCAATGAATATGGTTGATTTCTTGTAAAATGTCTGTCAACACATAGGATATTCTATACTAACGCGTAGTTTTTCGGAAGCTCTGAGCACTGAGGAATACCTTCACTGGTACCAACAGATTCTTTTGGAGAGTCAACAGGTTTTAAAATCTCATAATTTGTACCGAAATGAAAATAACAATAGTTACCTATTCCTGAACATTTTCTGTTTTCCTAAGATGGTTGTCCCCAAACGTGGAACTAAATATGGTTCCACCATCTCGCTTAGTCTGATAAGAGAAAAACCTTCCCATAGTCCTACATCTTGTTGTCCATTTGTGTACGTAAAGACCCCAGGACCAAATCTTTTATTCTCTCTAAATAAATATTAGTCATGATGTGCTTGAAAAATGCTACATGGTGTGGCAATTGATTGCCGGGATTTCAATGATAACACAATATACAGTGGACCTCCGGTAATCCGACAAACATTATGCAGGGCAGTGTCGGACTATCGAATTTGTCGGATTATAGAGCACTGCCTAAGACCCCCTATAGTCAGGAATTTTTTACAAAAGAGTACCTTGTAATCCGACAAATTACATATCCAATGGTAATATTATATATGTTATGTATATGTATGTACTTTGAAGTACAAATCATACATAGTTTATGTATGTCGAATTTAGTAAATTAAATAACAATAGAGAGCTTGTGTTTTATTATAAAATTAAGATAAATGCACATACATATGTACCAAAATAATCAAGAATTATTAATCAAAATCATTAATGACTTTATCAAATCATGAAGCTTGGAAATATTCATATTTTTTTTTTGTTTAAGGTTGTTATCACGCGAGATCAGAGCTTTGTCTCTCAGTCTGCTCAAAAGTAAGAATTCGTTGTAGGATGTACCATTCTCTTCAGCCCACTGTAAACCTAGCTCAAAGGCGTTAATTGCGTCTTGTGCTGTGACTTGTGGAGCAGTTGCAATCACGTCGTCGTTATTTTCCTGATTGTTTGTTGTATAATTAGAAACCTCTTTTATAATATCTTCGTCAGACATCTCATGAAAAACATTTTCCTCTTTATCCATTCCACGGCACCAGATTTCCCAATCTTCCGGACTTACCTGTGTTTCAGTAGCGACTTGTTCTACAACTTCCGAAGTAACACTGATTTGTGGAACGTTGCTAGGAGTGGTGACTATATCTGGCCATAAGTTTTTCCAAGACGATTTAATAGTTGATGACGGTAACGCATTCCACGACTGACAAAGAGCAAAAACCAAGTCTTTCATATTAAATTCTTTTAAAGTTTTTTCTATTGGTTGGTCTTTTGATACGGCTCTCAGAAGTAGGTTTTTCTTATAGTCTTGCTTGACAAACTGAATGATATTCTGGTCCATTGGTTGAATCAGTGCAGTGGAATTTGGCGGAAGAAACATCGCAGTAATGCATTTATCCTCAGTTGTTAGTTCTTCTTCAGACCTATGACCGGGAGCGTTATCAAGAAGCAACAACGCTTTTTGAGGAAAATTATGATCTTTTAACCATTTTGCTAACTTCAGGTGTGAATTATTTATCACACCACTTTTTGAAAAAGTCTTTTGTCATCCATGCACTTTTTTTGTCCGTAATAGTGTACAGGTAAATCAATGTTTTTGAATGCCCGTGCTTTATTAGATTTCCCAATGACCATCATCTTAAGCGCGTGTGTGCCCGCAGCGTTAGCACATGGTAGTATGGTTACACGCTCTTTACTTACTTTTCGTCCAGGTACGAATTTTTCGTTACAAGAAACGAAAGTTTTGTTAGGCATCACACGCCAAAAAAGCCCTGATTCGTCTGCATTGTACACCTGTGACGGGTCAAGATTTAAATCGTTCACCTTTTGCAGAAATCTTAATTTAAAGGGCTCTATGCAGGCGGCATCGTTAGAAAGTTTCTCTCCTGTAATAGTCATTAAACGTATGCCATGACGACTTTTAAAACGTTCTAGCCATCCTTTGCTGGCCACAAAATCATCTTTTTTTGTTATTTTCTTATAACAAAAATTAGCTTTCATGGCCAACATGGGTCCTGACATTGATGCATGCCTATTTCTTTCCTGAAGAAACCACATGTACAAAGCTTCTTCCACTTCTGGATGTTCAGCTTTCTTGAGTGTCTGTCTCTTGCCTGGCCCGTAGTCAGTAGTTGACACGAACTTCTTGATCTTCTCATGGTTTCTTTTAATGTCATAAATTGTAGATCGGCCTACGCCGTATTCACTTGCTAAACTACTGAAAGTTTCATTGCGATTTAAGCGGTCTAAAATATCACATTTTTCTTTAATTATCAATGTTTTGTGCTTTCGTTTCTGAGTTTGTGATGACATTACTAGGTACTATACTTAGTACACAATGAATAAATAGTAAACAAACAAAGCACGCTAGGCCGTACCGCTATCACAAGTAGTCAAATTCAAACTAAGTAAAACAATGCTTACGCGTCGAGCACGATAGCGGTGGCGCGTACAAGTTGTAACCTGTTCAAACCTGTGTGATCTACATTAGCGAAGATTGTCAAATACGTATGAATGTAATACATATTCAACGACATGTCGCATTACAGAGGGCGCCGGATTAGACAGGGGCCGGATTATCGAGGGTCCACTGTATGTCGTTTTCGATCCCGGAAAACAACATAAAATGGAAAAATTTTACTTCGTCAAAGTTCCTAAATATTAATCAAATATCCTTTAATAAAACCTCAAATGGATGTTGGAAAAATATTCAGGAACTTGAACAACATTAAACATTTTTTCATATCGTTTTTCAGAGTCGAATATCACTTATGTCACTAAGGTTATCAAGTTTAGACAAATGTCCATATTTTTTTCCTTCCGAATAACCCGCTTAAACCTGGAAAAAGTTACGCCGAACGAGAAGAACAATTCTTGGAACATGCCTAAAAAAATGTTTAAACAATGTTGACTAAATCTTGATTCTAACATGGCACGTAGATTTGTTAAAATGGACGACTAAGCTGATATGTCCTAAGAGAATTTAAGCGTACAAGTCACTTTTGCAAAGATGGTGTCGAAAAGACATGCAATGCTCTCAATGTGCACAGAAAGACTTACCTGAATAGTCCCTGAAAATGGGATCCATCTTTGTAAAAAATATGACCATATCCTTCTATCTTGTTGCAATAGAACAAACAGTCATAGAAAGTGACCTCCTCATTTCTATTAAATACATAATGTCCAGCACCATGAAGATTGTCATGAAGAGTACATCCCGTGTAGCGCTGATTTGGTGGAAACTCGATTTTCTCTATAGGCAAACTCAGTACTTCATGTTCTTCGTACTCTTCATAATCATTTGAAGAGATTAAGTTGTGTGCAAATGACATATTGCTGACATTTTGGAATTCAGGTCTGATGCTTGTCAAAGTGGTGACAAAAATTTGTTAATATGTCGTCATGCCGACGTTACGTGAATAAATTTGTTCCCTTAGAAATATCGGGACAGCGCGCCTCTGGAGAAGACATCCAGGTCCGTAGCAAGCCCAGGTAAAGAAACATGCATAGCGTTCCAAATTTTAATGGCTACGAATGTTAAAGCGCCTGTTCTTATCTTGTTAACGTTGGTCTACCAGGTAAACAGAGAGAGAGAGAGAGGGAGCATAACTGTTATTGGGCAGAATAGGTCGAGCCCTTACACAAGACCAATGACAAACCAGAGGGTGGAGTGGGAGACGATAAAACCGTGCATGCTGGCTATCCCGCACGGGTATCACGTAAAAAACCTATAAAACGTCAAAAAAAACCTATAAGATGTCAACTTGCGGACTAGGTAGTTGTTAGGGCGCAAACAGTCATTCCACGTTTGCTCACCAGGATCGTTGTGAACGTCCATCTATGGAGGAATCACTCAACTAAAAACTACGTATTATTGGTTGCATAGCTTTGTGAGGCTGAGTGATCCGTGTTTGTAGTTTTTATCTCTGAGAATAAAGTTAGTTGAATAGAAAGATCGCATCTGGATGATTGTGTGTATTGGTCTGCATGTGTATAAAATCAGTGATATTTGCTGTGTGAGAAAATCATTACTGAATATGCCGAATAAGACGGGTTATTTATATGTTGTGCTTTCTGAAGAGAGGTTATGTTCAAAGTTATAAATTACGAAAAACTAACGAGAATTACGGGAAATCATCACCGCGCCCGCGTTGTGTGTACGTAATTACTGTTAGCATATATATGGCTTGTAGTTCGACAGTGTACAGTGAATATAATTATTTCTTATCTCTCTCATTTTTGAAATTCAGCAAATTTGTATATGTAATATCCGGAATGGATAAGAAAAAGTGGATGAGAAACTAATTTCTAGCTTTGAATCTCAATTAAGTGTATTTGAGACTAGAACCCAATGTAATCATCATCAACACATACAACTTACAGCTTAGACCTCCAGTAATGCCATCTCAGAAGCAGATTTCACATCACATCAAAGCCAAAGATTGATAACAAGCCTCGTGACGTTTAGGCAACACGTACAACTAAGTGCCAAGTTAACATCTTGTAGAATAACCTACATAATGTAAAAAAAAACAGCATAATGTAAAAAAAATCGACATAATGTCACTTTTCAAGATACGTGATACCGGTGCCGGTGGCTGGCCGTACAATACAGAGTTGGCATCAGATTTATACTGGTATTACTGTGATGTCAGTTTAATTTCGTATAACTCAAAATGTCTGATACGGATACAGCTGATGAAGTTGTTGATATGAGCTGCACACCGCCTAAAAAAACTAAAAGGCTTCATTTTAGCGTTAGCGAAAAACAAATAATTATCAATATTTATAAATACGAAATGCAAGGAAGGAGTGACTCAAGTGTTCAGGACATTGTTTGCAAAGCTGACACCTACATACTTTTCAATACTTGTAAGACAAGGAATTTCAACTACAATTATATTTTATTTTTGTTTTTGTTCATGCTTAAACTATATCGAGATAAGAAATTAAGCAATCATTTTGTTGGGTTTTTAATGCTTTCAATAGGAGCGGTTTTAAACAGTCCAAAATGAATTATTTTGTGTCCGATGCTTTATGGACATTTGGATCGAAAGAAACGGGAGACTACCATGAAGAAATGGATGGAGCCTCGTTCGAAAATTGGTTCTCAAATACTCTACCGAAGCTTGAAGATAATTCGGTTATAGTATTAGATAATGCTTCATTCCATACGAGAAAATTAGAGAAAATTCCAGAAAAGTCAACGAAAAAATCAGAAATTCAAGGATGGCTTAAAAATAAAAAGATTGATTATGATGATCCAACAGTTAAGGCAGAATTTTACAAATTGTCAAGACGCATTAAATTAAATAAAACCTGAACATAATTGATGAAATGGCCAAAAAACAAAATAAAACTGTTTTAGGGCTGCCGAAAATAAATGTTTTAAATTTTCTGACCTTAAAAATATTTTTATTAAATAAGTGGGAAAATGTATCAGCATGTAAAAGAAAAGGTCGAAACTAAAATGTGGAAATTAGACGGTATCATTGATACTCACGTTGCCCCTTCAATCATAAATCTTGATGACAGTGGGAGTTCCACGGCCTCAGATCTAGAGTGATTTTCATTTTCAAATATATGTATTTCCGGTTTTAGAGGTAAAATGTCTGTGCAATAAATTTTTGTAAAATATTTAATATATATTATCATGTATTCAAATTTTTTTTCTTTCAACTCCATCTAACTATTCATTTTTTAGTCTAATATTAAAATTAACTGTTTGCACACTGACGTCCCTGTTCAACCGGTAGTTAGGTATACTTGTATGCATATGCAATTATCGTTTTAATGTGTCCAGACATTTTTTAAAAGCCTGCTTTATAAATGCGTCTTACGAAACATTTCGAGTATAATTTCTTCATTCTTTTTGGTCATGACAGTTAAATTAAAAAAAATGCATTAATTCCAAGCTTTACGTTTGGACCCTATACATGCCTGTAATAATTTTGCATACTTTTTGATCGTGTCGTAAAACCACAAATTATTTATTTTTAGTACGGCCCTGTAACGTGCTCGGCGTTCTGGAGCGCGATCACGTGGTGTTTACGTAAATATGTTTAGGTTTGGTCTCTTTCTTCGATGGATACATAATAGTCAGGGATTTGTCTCCTAATTCTTATAGTCTGCAGTAACGTAACGCGACCCACTGGCAGTTAAAACCAATCTATAAACTTGCTAACGTTATGGCGCGTGACGCATAAAATCTAACCCAAAATTGAATCCTTTTTCACATATTTGAAGAGCAAATTTGTCTGTAGATCATTTGGTTGATAGACGATAAGAGGCTAACATTACTTTTGTCTAAATGTCAAACTGAGCGAAAAGCTAGCGAAAAAAAACAGCTAACGCATTCAGACTAGGAAGAAGGATCCAGTCAAGGATTTATTTCTCTCCTTATTCTCATGGTCCGTAGTTCTGTCATTAAATGCATGTTTTTAGAGTTATCACATTAAGTGCGAGTGTCTGCAGATAATTGTGGTGTTAGACGATTTCAACGCATGGTAATTCTTAAGTAATTTGCAAAGAGCAGCACAAGCTGAAGGTAGAAGTTTCCCCTGATAAGTATTATATTGTGTTGATACCTTACTCGTTAATGTAACTAAACACAAACATAGAGCTACATGCAGGTCTTTAATTGTAAACCTTAAAATAATGACTGTTATGTCATTGTTGATTTTAAAAACAGCTAGTTGTATTTTTGAAAATAAATCTAAATTTGAAACATTAAATATAATTAGGTAGGAGAAAACAAGTCCTTAAATTACCTAAATCAACACCTATTGTGGAATATTCAATAATTTTATAATGCTCCGCATGAAAATTAACTTACGTGTATCTCCCTGATGCTATAGAAAGAATATAATGCAAACATATCCATCATAACTTTAAAATAAGAAAGGAAATTCGTTAAGGTAAAATCCAGCATGACTCAATCTCTACTTGAAAGCTTTGTTTTAAAGATTTACAGTAAATACCAATGGTAAATACTAAAGTAAACATTAATTATTATTATACATGTCAAATTCAAACTAATCAAAATTAGTCATCGTGTGAATTCATCTCAACGAATCAACTTTAATTTTAAACGAACTGATTAGGAAGGTATGAAATATCAAAGTCGTTCCAAAGTATCTGGTATTTGAAATCTAGGGAGTTTTTGTCGTTCGCGCACCGAAAGTTGGTATGTAATGACTATCTGAAAACTGTCTGCGCGGACGGACTTGCGCATGGCATTTCTTTGTCCGTTTGGTGGGCACACGTATACCAATCGAGCCGGTTATCTATAATAAAAAGTGATTTATGATTTTTCGCAAGTGATAGCCAACAGACAAATAAGCCTGATTAAACTGTGTTCTGTTGTGTCCGATGTCTAGTGCTGAAACGGCAGACAGCTCCGTCGATCCCCCTGCCAAGAAGCGGAAGCTTGACTCAAAGATAACCACCTCCGAAATGGCGAACACCGAAGTTGCAGGTTCATCTCAATCGAACGACATCGATGAGGGGCTCTACTCCCGTCAACTGTACGTTTTGGGGCACGATGCTATGCGCCGCATGGCCAAAAGTGACGTCCTCATATCAGGACTGGGGGGCCTTGGCGTGGAAGTGGCCAAAAATGTCATTCTCGGCGGTGTGAAGTCAGTGACTCTCCATGACGAATCAGTTTGCAAAGTTTTCGATTTTTCTTCGCAATTTTACCTGAGCAAAAGCGATCTAGGCAAAAACCGAGCAGAAGCTTGTTGCAAGAAGCTTTCCGAACTAAACAACTATGTCCCTACGAAGTCTTATACTGGGCCCCTAACCGAAGATGTCATCAAGAAATTTAGTGTAGTTGTGCTTACAGCAAACTCCCGTGCGGAACAACTCCGTATTAGTGAAATAACTCACGCAAATAACGTTGCTTTGATCATTGCAGACACTAGAGGATTGTTTGCGCAGGTATTTTGTGACTTTGGGGAAAGTTTCACTGTTGTAGACACTAATGGTGAGCAAAATGTATCTGCTATGATTGCAGACATCTCCAGTGACAAAGAAGGTATTGTTACATGCATAGACGATACCAGACATGGCATGGAAGATGGCGATTATGTTACTTTTTCTGAAGTCGAAGGCATGACTGAACTGAATGGCTGTTCACCTATCAAAATAAAAGTGTTAGGTCCTTACACTTTCAGTATTGGTGATACAACCAAATTTTCCAAATACGAACGTGGAGGTATTGCAACCCAAGTAAAGATGCCTAAAGAACTTAAATTCAAATCATTCAAGGAATCATTGCAATCACCAGAGTTCCTTATCACAGATTTTGCTAAGTTTGACCACCCACAACAGTTGCACCTAGCTTTTACTGCATTTCATAAGTATATTGAAAAATACCAGAGAGCCCCAAGACCTTGGAACTGCCAAGATGCTGATGAATTTGTAGCTCTAACAAAATCTGTAGCTGTAGATGGTGGAAATGACACTGAAGTTAATACAAATCTGTTGGAGACTTTCTCGAAAGTGGCAGCAGGAGATATAAACCCGATCAATGCTACTATAGGAGGGATTGTTGCTCAAGAAGTAATGAAAGCTTGCTCTGGAAAGTTCCACCCGATTTACCAGTGGTTGTACTTTGATGCCATTGAATGTTTACCTTCAGACAGAAGTGAAATTACTGAAGATCTAGCTGTGCCTGCAAATAATCGGTATGATGGACAAACTGCAGTGTTTGGTGCAGAATTCCAAAAGAAACTAGGTAAGAAAATGGCTAAATTAATTTTGTTGTATATCTATGAATCACAGGATGTGGATTTAATCTCGACCTTCATTTTAATTTTTAGATTGTATAAGTGGATTCTATAGTCAACAAAAAACATGTTTCTAATTTCATACCTTGCTTTCATGTTAAAATGATGAGATTAGGAATCCAAATCACTTTCTAGTAGTAACTGTATTTTCCTTTGTAAATAATTTTTTAAATATGAAGATTCATACCCTCAGTGGCTTAGCAAGGAGGGGTGGCAGGCAGGGTCCACGCTGGGTGTCACCTTTTTTGAGGTGACACCCACCCAGTGACTCAACTTTTTCAGAGTTGAACTTCAGAGAAGAACAAGATCAAAGTCTCTTCAAGACCTACAACTTCATTGTTTGAGATCATACAAACAAATACTTTGCTTTGCAGAACTGAAATTAGCTACATCCAAATTTACTGATTTTTATAATGTCTCTAACAGATTTACTTTTGGAGATACCAATACTGTGAAGACACTTAAATGCAGCTAAAGGAACAGTTTCTGATTGGATATCTCTAGATTTTTTAAAGTTTATTGTAGAATGGGGTTTTACAGTATCTCTTCTAAATCTCATGATTGCACTAAAATTGTGCATGACGGTTTGTGCACCATAGCTTCTAGCTTCATGTGAAAGAAGTTTCAGTAAACTAAAATTAATAAAAAACTATTTGCAGCTGTTAAAGTTAGAAAGACAAGATTTCAGTTGTAAGGCAAAAATATTTTTTCTGTCTTAGTTTTTATTCTGATTTGTTATTAGTTCTATATTTTAAATATAAATATTAAATGATCCATGACGTTTATGAATCATATAAAATTTATTGCTTTTGACCTTCAATAGGGTGACACCACCAAATCCACCAGGTGCCACCCAAGGTAGTTACGCCACTGCATACCCTACTTAACTATAAGTTTTAAAATAAACAAGAATCTAAAATTCAGTTCTACAGTTTAGTTTACATTATAAATGTTCATTTTGTATTGATAATTTATAGCATAAATGATAAAAAGTGTCAATTATTTCAATATTTTTTGATCGTTATCTTTGGTAACCTTTCTGTAATAAAAGTTTAAATTTATGTAAACGTACTGAATATATGATCTATCTATATAAAAATAGGCACAGTATAAAAATAGATTGGTATATTATTGTATTTTCGTAAGGTCTGTTTGATTTGGCTATCCATATTGCTTGCCTATCTTTAAAATACTGTCACAAACAAAAATATTAATATACTGTACAAATAAAAAAAAACATCTTATTAACAACAGGAAAAGGTTTCATCTAAATGGCAGAATAAAACAAATTGTTTTGAGTAATGATGTTGCTTAAGATTATCTGGTATTGTTACCTATTTCTGTTCATATGTAAAAAATACATCATTACATCTGTAGCTTCATAATTTATTTTTTTTTAATATTTTAGTTATGAACAAGAAATATGGGTATATAATGGATAAAGCTGACCTTTAAATTTTTTCAAAAATGCAACATATTTTTAAATACAGAAGTTGAATGTTTTTGAGAAACATGCTTATCTTTAAAAAAGTGTCAAAAGGTCTTATTTCTGAAAGTCAATAATAGTTCCTTGCATTAACTGCTTCTCTTTCATTCCTCCAAGTGTGAGATGATAGGGGCACTAGAGGTAGTTAACCAAGATCTGCAATGCCAAGCATTATTTAGATCAAGAATGCTATCACAATACACTATGGATATAACAGTAGTTTTATAAACCTGAATATTTGGTTAATATACCATCCACCATATGCTTTTGGATGAAACATATAGTATCATATAAAAATGTATCATATCAGTTTAATCATGTGATAAAGATATAACCACGTATCTCAAAAAATTCAGAGAACAATCTAGCTTGTCAGACTATGCAGTATAAATTATGTTTAATCTTTAATACGTGTTTCAAACTGCACCTTGTTTAATTACGACATGAAAGAAGCATCTATTTATAGCCAATTGGCACAATTAGACATAGTTTAGATACCAAACCTATACTTTCATCATGTTTTGTGACAAGTTGGATCATGTACCTACAGTTAAATCTAGCACATGGAAAAAATATACAACACAAATTTTTTAAATGGAATTTAAATTTCATCATGATAGTTCTGTCTGTTACCTCTTGGAAATATCTTTCAAAAGATAATAAAGTTATAAAAGACATCTCTCTTATTATGCACTTTAGCTATTTGTTTATCAAATTGTATTATCATTTGAAGACTCCAAGTTCATTTTTATGTATAATTTCAAATTATGCATAATCCAATAGAAAAAAGCAATACATCTATTATACAGATGTAGATCCACAGGATGCTGTAGTCAAATCCTTGTCCATTCTTTTAAAGTTGATACAAGCAGTTTTTTCCCTCTGGAGGAATTTACTCTTAATGGACTAAGCGTCATGTATTGGAGTTTTCAATGAGTTGTGAAAAATGTGTTATTCAACTTGAAGAAATATTTCTATTTAACAGGTCAACTGAAATACTTTGTTGTTGGAGCTGGTGCAATAGGTTGCGAGTTGCTCAAAAACTTTGCAATGATGGGTGTTGGTGCAGGTGAAGAGGGCAAAGTTTATGTCACTGACATGGATCTGATTGAAACATCAAACTTGAATCGTCAATTTCTATTCAGAAGGCAAGATGTTCAGAAGCCAAAGTCAACCACTGCAGCTAGAGTAAGTAATATTTGGATCCTTAAGGGTATTCAGTACCCTCATCTGTTCCTTTGTAAAACATGCCTCTGTAAAACACATCTAAGTAAGAACAACCATAAAAATTAGCCCCTTTTAGCTGCTAGGCTGCTTGTGTGTGGCATATTAGAGCTTGAATTTTCTTCAATTAATTCTTTTTTCCAGGCTGTGTTAAAGATGAATCCAGAAGTAAACATTGAATCTCATGAGAATCGTGTTGGTCCTGATACAGAAAACCTCTATAATGATGACTTCTTTGAACGATTGGATGGTGTGGCGAATGCTCTAGATAACGTGGATGCTAGAATATACATGGACAGGAGGTGTGTCTACTACAGGAAACCCCTGTTGGAGTCTGGTACTTTGGGCACTAAAGGCAATACACAGGTTGTCATTCCTTTCTTGTCTGAGTCATACAGTTCATCCCAGGATCCACCAGAAAAGAGTATTCCAATCTGTACATTGAAGAATTTCCCAAATGCTATTGAGCATACTTTGCAGTGGGCAAGAGACATGTTTGAGGGTAAAAATATTTCAAAATATCATGTTAAACCTTGTTCTTACTTCCCACACCACTGGCGGGAAAGTATTGTAGTTATGAAGAATTTTGAAATTGAGTTAAACCATGTCACTCATTTACCAGTGCATACGAAATTTGTCCTTGATTACTAAAAAAAAGATAGACTGCCATTCGTTTTTCTTCAATCATATTACATGATCAGCTGTAAGGGTTTTCATAGCCATCCAGTATGAAAGAGACCGGAGCATAAAAAAGTTTATTCAGATGCTGAGCATATTCAAACTCCATGATTTTGATTTTTGTTAAATCAACAATACTTTTTAACTGATGGTTGTTTTACTCCGTGGCATTATGCCAGTATACATGAATTTTTATAGATAGCGAATAAAATTCTCAGAGCATACAAAAGATGACTCATGAGGCATATACATAGTCCATTCGCCCAGAATAGCGAGGAAGTCAACATATTTGACGCAATTTTTTTTTTCAGGTATTTTCAAGCAAAACGCTGAAAACGCGTCTCTCTATTTGTCGGATCCAATCTTTATGGACCGCACTCTGAAATTGCCTGGAGTTCAACCATTGGAGGTCCTTGAATCTGTCAAAGCTGCTTTGGTAGATGAGAGACCAAAATCTTTTGAAGATTGCATTGCTTGGGCCAGGAATCATTGGCAGGAGCAGTATTCTAACCAGATCAGGTACTGTGTACAACTTGGCAGAATAAAATTCTTTATGGCAAATACAAACAATCATCATTTATTTTTGCTTTTTCTGTTTTTAGGCAGCTGCTGTTCAACTTCCCACCGGATCAGAAGACAAGTACCGGCCAGCTGTTTTGGTCGGGTCCCAAGAGGTGTCCAGAATCGTTAACGTTTGATGTAAACAATCCTTTGCATTTGGATTATGTACAGGCAGCTGCCAACCTAAAAGCTGAGGTCTATGGCATTCCCGCCATCAGCGACAGGAAATATATTGCCGATGTCATCGCTAAAGTCAATGTAAGTTATTATTTAGACACAAACTGTATTTTGATACACGATTGGAATGGACCTGTTCACATTTTTGTTTCCTTCATTATTTAAGTAAGGTGAAGTGTCAAGGCAATGATTTATATTAATAATCAAAAATAAACATAACTAAGTTTGTGCGCTGGGAAATGTTTTAATACGATGAAATTATTACTTCCTACGCCGCTGGCGATGAAGTATTTTAATCACGAAAAAATTTCGAAAATGAAATATTAAAGTCTACCTTTGGTTGGCTCCCGGACAAAAATTTGGAAACATTCTTAGTAATTTTTAAAAAGTGTGCTATTTTTTTATTGTTTATTATTGAATACTTTTTTCTCATATTGTTTGCTTACAGCAATTTGTGTTTTTGCTGTGGTACTACAGGTTAGCATTAAAATACCGTCATATTATTTTATGACCGAAAATGGGACGACAAATGTATGGAAACATATTTTTTATTACAAAATTAAATACGAGTACAACTCTACAAAAATATTTAAAAAACACTGTTTAGCTAATATTTGATAGCATAGCCCTTAGCATTCAACACTTCCTGACATTTGCTGCTCATAGAAGACAATACTTTTTTTCCTTTACGAATTTTTAGGTAGGCTTGGGGTCATTATCTTGTTGGAATGTCCATCGTAAGGCATCTCTTCTTCAGCAAAAGTGAGCATGTGCTCACTAAGAATATCTTTGTAAAGTTTTTGATCCACTGGATCCGTTCTGTAACTAGAAAAACAGCCCCAAACTATGATGTCGCCTCCACCGTGCTTAACTGTTGGTAACTGATTCTTTTGGTCGAATCTTTTTCGTATTGGACGTCTCACATATGCCGTATCGTCAGATCCAAACAAGTTGAATTTGCTTTCATCGCTCCATAAAACTGTATTCCATTGTTGTTCTGTCCAAGTTAGATGAGTTTTAGCAAATTCAAGCCGAGCAACACGTTTTTTTAAATGAGTGGCTTTTTCACTGGACGCCTACCAAAAATCCCAAAATCCACCAAGCGTCTCTGTACTGTTCTGACAGAAAGATTCTCGGCATCCTCTTCTACGATTCTTTTGAAAATCTGTGTGGCTGGCACTCGAGGATCTTTATGGGACAAACGTTTAATGTAACGATCCAAAACATAATCGTTTTTTTTTTCGGGTTTCCGCACCTGGGCCGCGTTGCTGTTGATCCGTATTCTTGATATTTACTAATAACTTTCGAAATCGTCCCTTCGTTCATTTTTAATCTTTGAGAAATGTCAAGATTTCTGACACCACTTCTAAATAATTCAATTACTTTGTCTTTTAAATATTTTGAAAACCCTTTTACTTTTTCTATTATCACTGATGATATTTACCGCGCGCAATATCAGAGTATCGCAGAACGAATAAATACGGTAAAACTGAAATGTTTCCATACTTGTGTCGCTACAATAACTGCGGTATTAAAAAAACCTTGTATTAGTATGGGAGCCAAAGGTTTTTTTATTCATATTATCTGTTCCTTCGCAATTTTAATTTAGGTATATGAAATAGTTTATAATAATGTTGATATTTGTTTCCAAACTTTTGTCCGCTACTGTATATAATTGCTTTGATCGATTTCTGGATTTACATTTGGGAATAAACCGAATATAGTTGATGACATAACTGCAAGTCCATAGTCAACCTACTTGACGCCAATTTTTTTTCCAGGTGCCGGAATTCATACCGAAATCCGGCATAAAAATCGCCGTAACTGACTCCCAAATGGCTATGAACGGCCAGAACGTCGACCTAGACCGAATCGACCAAATCAAGAACGAACTGCCGTCAGTCGAAGAGCTTAAAGGTTTGAAACTGACTCCATTGGAATTCGAAAAGGACGACGATCATCACATGGACTTCATCGTGGCCGCTTCCAATCTCAGGGCTGCCAACTACAAGATTCCGCCTGCGGACAGGCACAAGTCCAAGCTGATTGCTGGTGAGTTAATATAATTTCAGGCAAAGTTTGCTGAATAAAGTTCCTGAGCGGGAAGATACTTTGCACTCGAGAAAAATAGTTCCTAGAGCGGCAAAGTTGTTTCCCTTAGCAATGCTTTCAACTATTGAGCGGTGTGATTAGGCATATAGGGTTTTACGTCAACTTTTTGTGGCCATGAGGGCCCATAGAGCAAAATTCAAGGGAGCGTATTGATGGTCCTAAAATTCATGTTCAGCTAGATTTATCTTGACACTGTGAGGGACACTGTGTACTCCAAGGTTTTTAAAATAAAAATCTCAAAATGGGTTGATGTTGAAATCAAATAAAACAAGCATTTTTTGAAGTATGAAGTTTTTTTATCTGAATAGCCTATGTGTGTAATTCTTGACAAATAGAGTAGAAGAACCAATACAAATTGGTCGCAGTACTATTGTTTTTCTATGCTTGTTCTGGCAGCTTTTCACGTTCATCATATACGTTTGCCAAATCATCCATTTTCGGCGAAGTTATGTGTTCCTAGTTTTTTATACCATTAAGAATATTTATAACAAAGTTAAATTCAGTCTTTAGAGATGTTACGGCGAGACTGCCTCACCGGAGGAACAAATTGTCTAACAAGGAAACGTTACAGAATACAATTTTTTGAAAAGTAATCGAACACGTCTACTTTCTGGACGCCAATTGAAAGCAAACGGATGGAATATCTAATAGAAGGGTTCTATTATTCTTCATTATCTGGATAAATAGCAAAAATTTCGAGAGTCTCACCGTCGATCATCGGTCTCATCTCTTAAGGTGACGTTAACCTTGTGATTAAAGACTACCACGGATTAAAATATTCCACTAGAAGATACGCAATCCACTTATGTCTCAAAGGAATTAAGTATACGTACTATGGCGCCTCTGACTTATTCTTACAACTATACAGGGTGTTGATCTCAAAAGTTGCGCAAGATAAAGCCTCGAAAAGTAAAGGGTGTCTCAACAAGAGCGCCGCATTTGAATTTGCCGTCATTTTTTTGTACAAATGGTATGGTGTTTAGTTGATGACAGCTATCATGTCCAGGCCACGCGATTAGACGTAATGGAGCAGTATTCAAACGAGCAACGTTTAATTATTGTGAAAACTCGCTGCAAAAATTGAAAAAATTGCGCGGAAACAGTTCGCTAATTACGTACAATTTTCGGTCGCAATAATGCGCCAAATGGGTTACTCTTACTGCGGACCAAGTTTCCAGACCATGTCATCTCGCGGTTTGCGAATAAGCCACAAACAGTTGAACGCCTTAAAGAAGACGAAATAGAACCACAGTTGTGCGAAAACGTTATCCAGAATTTTAAGAAAAGACTGACCCTGTACCAGAGGTTGCGTGGTGGCCATTCACCGCATGTACTATTTCATGTTTAATCGCAACTATTCCTCTTCATGTTGAAATGTAAATACTCGCTTAATTCGAAAAGAATCAAATCCGGCGCTCTTATTGAGAGACCCTTTAGTAGAACTACGTCCACTTTCTGTTATTAAAAATTTGCCTAGTGTCGACTGGCTTAAAGATGCGTTCAAATTCATATGTTTTCCCTGTAAGGTTACCTCAGGTTCAATTCGTGTGTTTCAGGTAAAATTATCCCAGCTATCGCCACCACAACATCCGTCGTCGCAGGTTTGGTATGCCTGGAACTCTACAAACTGGTCAGAAGCATGAAGAGCCTGGAACCCTTTAAGAACGGCTTTGTAAACCTAGCCTTACCGTTCTTTGGCTTCTCAGAACCAATCGCCGCTCCGAAAATGAGATACAACGAAGTCGATTGGACACTTTGGGATCGTTTCGAAGTACAAGGAGAACTGACCCTCGAGGAGTTCCTTCAGTACTTCAAAGACAAGTACAGTCTGGAGATCACCATGCTTTCCCAAGGAGTCTGCATGTTGTACTCTTTCTTCATGGCCAAGGCAAAGATGCAACAACGTTTGAGCCTTCCGATGACCGAAGTGGTGAAGCGGGTGTCCAAGAAACGTCTGGAGCCACACGTGAAGGCCCTGGTCTTCGAATTGTGCTGCAATAACGCCGACGGTGAAGACGTGGAGGTACCATACGTGAAATACAACTTGCCTTGAGTGTAGTCGTCGCTTTAGAGGGACTGTAACGGGTGTGAACTTTGTTTCGTCAGATTGGAATTTCTTTTTAATAAAAAATGTGATTAAATTATCTATTTATGTACTTTAATGTACTTTATTCTAAAAGAACGTTCACGTATGGCGTGAAGGAAAAACAGTTTATGGACACTCGTTTGATTTCGGAAGATCATGTAGCATTTAAATAAGCTAACGTATGCATTAACAAGGAGTTAGAATGCTGTTATTTTTAATAAGTAGAATGTAATTTCTCAGTTGAATATTTTCATGTGTGAAAAAATAAAAATCTGTTTTAACAGAATGCTGGTATTTGTGTATTAAAGCCCATCCCACATATGCAAGCTCCCACAAAACATTTGGTATTTGACTTTTTTTTTTAATCTGTATGCAGGCCTATAAACATCTAGAAAAAGTATTCTGCTGATTGCCACATAATAATAATAATAATAATAAATGGCTTTATTCGAAGAGACAATGCATACAAAAATAATGTTCAACAAATAGGAATAATTGCTCTCGAATCTCAAGGGGGAGCTCACGACCTGCGTGCTCTTCCACTCATCCCTTGCTCTATTTTAAAATAGTGATATCAACTGTTACATGCCTACTACTAACTATATGAGAGCAGAAAAAAAAGCATGAGTACAAAATAAAAACAAATAACACTGAAAATATTCCATCATATAATCATGAGATTCATCCAAAAAAGCTAAATGTTACAGTATTATCAGTGAAGTTAATTATACTTATCTAAAAGGAATCGTCTCAGAGCTGCCTTGAATTTGCAACCTTTCATATTTTTGATTTGCTGGGGGATGGAGTTGTATAATTTATAGATGTTGTAAGAGAAGCCACGTTCGAAAAAACATGTTCGATGGAATGGAGCAGAAATATTCTGTTCCGAACGAACATTGACAGAATGAAGACTTTCTCTAAACATGACTTTTTCATACAAATATGGCGGTGACTTGCTAGACAAAATATTATTGTAGAAACATAGTGTTAATAGTTCTGAACGCTGTTTCATGTTCAACCACTGTAAATCCTTCAGCTTATGACTAACTCTGTCATATTTCCTTATACCGAAAATGTACCTTATACATGAATTTTGAACACGCTGAATTCTAGATATCGTATCAGCATCCAAGCATGGATAATAGACAGGAGCACCATACGAAAACTGGGACAAAACCAACGTTTCGCATAGCATTCGTTTGATGTCTCTGCTAAGAAAGTGCCTATGAGGGTAAAGCAGCTTAAGTGCATAATACGCTCTTTGTATACATTTTGAAATATGCTCTTTAAATCTGAGCTGAAAATCTATTATGATACCCAAATTTTTAACAGAATCGCAGAACGGTATTAGAACATTATCTATATGTAGCGTCATATTGTTCATTATCTCTGACCGATCTTTCCCAAAAATTATTGCTGCTGATTTTTTTGGATTCAGTGACATTGAATGATCATTCGAAGTTTTAAATAGAGCGTCAAGATCAGCATTAATTTTAAACTCCGCCATTGGCCAATCATCACCAAGGAATGAAAGGCACACTTGAGTATCATCTGCATACATGTGAGGCTTACAGTATTCAAGGGATTTGGAGAGCTGACTAGTATATAGCGTGAATAATAACGGTCCGAGTATCGAACCCTGCGGTACCCCTTGATTTATTGTCCTTACTCGCGAGAGCTTATTATTGATCTTCACACGTTGCATTCTATCGGTAAGGTAAGATTCGAATAACGATTTATTATGACCTGATACCCCACATGATTCAAGTATTGCAATCAGAACGTCATGATTTATAGTATCAAATGCTTTGCTATAATCTAACAAAACTAGTGCAGTACAGTTACTGTTGTCATTAGCTGTTATAATATCGTCTGTAATGTGTGCCAAAGCTGTAGTACAGCTATAATCTTGACGAAAACCTGACTGAGTACTAGGTAAAATTTTGTTTCTGGTTATGTGGTCACGTAGCTGTAATTCTATTATTTTTTCCACTAACTTTGAAAGGCCAGGTAAGATACTGATAGGGCGAAGATCTGCAAGTTGTTTGACATCTTTACCCTTAGGGATTGGAGTTATTAGAGCTGTTTTCCAGGCGGTGGGATATTTTCCGTCTAAAAGAATACTATTAGTAATGTGGACAAGAAAAGGCAATAGGATTGGAATACACATTTTAAGTAAACGGACTGAAATTCCGTCACTTCCTGGCGAGGTATTTTTTATCCGGCAGAAGGCTTGCAGAATTTGTTCCTCGGAGACCAAGGAAAAATTAAATTTATCATAGCATATGACATTACTGTTATAGTGCGTAACTAAATCCTCATTACTATTGATTTGTTGAGGAATATTGTCTAAGAAGAAGTCGTTGATATTATCAGCACTTTGCAGCTGTGATGGTATACCAGGATTATTTGATTTTATATCTAATGATCTTAGTTCTTTCCATAGTACTTTACACTGTTTTCAGTCTGAGCCAATTGTGAGAAATATTTCTTTTTTTTCTTGTAATATGGTATGATTAGTTTTGTTTTTGAGCTGTTTGTAAGCCACACCATTCTGCGCAGAAGGATTCTTCCGGAATTTTGATCTAGCTTTGTCTCTATCTCTCATTAGTTTCCTTATGTTATTGCTAAGCCAAGGTGCCTTATTTTTGCTAATTTTAGATGTTTTAAGAGGCATGTGTTTGTCAAACAGCTGAAGGATCATGTTGTTGAACAAAAGCATTTTATCATCGATGTCAGAAGCATAGCAAATATCTATCAGAGGGAGCTTTTGTAGGTCACTGTAGAACTCATGCTCATTAAAATGCTTAAAACTACGATAAGTGCAGTAGAATGGCTCAGTTTTAGGCTCAGACTTGTATACCTGACATGAAATCAATTCGTGATTGGTCAAATCCAACCCACCGATATTAGACGTGTGTATTATTGAGAGATCATTGCATATAATAACATCAATTAATGAGCTGGATATTTGAGTGATGTGAGTTGGTTCATTCAAAATTTGGTGAAAATTAACGGTACTTAACATATCTAGCATGTATCTTGTAGAAGCAGGTTGGATATCCAAGAAATTTATATTCACATCTCCAACACATATCACTTTATCGGTCTGAATGGCGACCAGAGATAATGATTCTTCTAGCTCGTCAACAAAATTCCTATAGTTATAATGAGGAGGACGGTATACAACTCCGACAGCATATGAAACATCATTAAATTGCAACATTACCCATAACTGTTCGATATTAGAAGATGTATTTATTAGAGAAAACTTCAGACTGTCATGTATATAAAGAGCAACGCCTCCGCCCCTTGCCCCTCTATCAGCTCTCACAACACTATATCCAGGGATCTGAATTGCTCCATTTGCGACTGTCGAATTAAGCCAAGTTTCTGACATTGCAAAGATTCCATAATTATGCTGTAAAATATGCTCTCTGAGTCTTATGAGGTCTGTAAATTAAGTGATGAGATTGGCGACGTAGCGTTCGATCTTTCAGTACAAGTTTGAACTCGCTCGAGTCATTTGGTTGTCCGTAGCGAGTTTTTTGTTCTAAAAATGAGTGACATTTGGGTACAGTGCAACGGAGCCTCTTACTAAACTTCAGCAGGAATATGGAGATAGTGTTTTGTCAAGAGCCCAGGTGTTTCAGAAGGGAGAGAGTCGATTGAAGATGAACCACGTAGCGGAAGAACCGATAAAAATATCGACAGAATCCGGGATCTTGTGTGTTCAGATCGTCGGTTGCCAGTCTGAATGATCGGGGAAGCGTTAAATTTGACTCACACCAACGTTCATTAGGTCAAGAACAACTGGGTGTTTTTAGTCTGTAAAAACATTCTTGTGATTCCTCGGCCTCATTATTAGCCTAACTTGCGTTCTTGTGAGTCTTTTTAATTCCCGAAGTTGAAAACTCACCTCTGGGACAGTCGAAAACGTTCAAACGGCTGTAGCAGACCAGCTGAAGGCTATTGCAGTATCTAAGTTCCAGCACTGCTATGAGAAATGAAAGAACCATCTAAAGCCCTGTGTAGCTTCAGAAGAAAGTTATTTTGACGGTGACAATATAAAACTGTAATTATATTTGGATAAAAAAATCAATTGTGTTGTGTCACTTAATTCACAGACCTCGTATACTTTACGTTCTGCCAGTTTGAACGTAGTTAAATGTCGAAAATAAAAATTAAATCGGCGCTTGCTAATAAGTTTTCCACTGCCATAATTTTCGAGCTGGAACTGGATGTTATCCTTGTCCGCCAATAGTGTTTTATTGTTTGATAAATAATGGAAGCAATATATTTTGGAGAGTGATATTTTAATTCGTGACACCATAATAGGACAATATTTGATCTTAGAACAATAACATGTACAACAAATGATCGTATTTAGGAATTAATACAACGATACACATCAAAGTCGGTTATACCACACGACTAAAATCAAATATAAGCAATTAAACATAGTCGCGAGTAGCAGTTTTACTACTGAAAATCCTGCAACATCGCTACCTTTTTATCAAGTTCTCTAATAATACTTTGGATTTCACCCTCGGTGCTTGCGATCTTTCCGTTCAAATCCTTAATGTTTTCCTCCGGTTTCAATCGCAGTTCATCTGCCAATTGAGATAACGGGAGTATGGATGGGAATTTCGAGAGTCCCGTGAGTTGCTTTTCAAGCGTTTGTTCCAAACGTTTATGGGTTTGACAAAACATCTCCAGCTCTTTTTCTTCATCTTCGATCATTTTTTGAAGCATGACGCCTTCCTATCAATCAAACGGAATATGTATTATATCTATTGGGAAACCCTTGGCATTTTTTATGGGCATATTCGAAACCTGCACGCCACACGCGGTGGCAAAACCATAGCGGCGTTCTTTTGGCGATGCGGTCCCTGGCTGTGTCAACCATGGTCATCTACGTTAAAATTATAATACGAGAGAAGAAACGTAAGTTTTCAAGTAAACGAAATACTATACTTTTTCACTCTGAATCGATTTTAAGTATTTGATATGTGTACTAAAAAGAAAAAATATTACTTTATTGTCATTTTAGTTATCGATAGTATTCCTAGAAAACCGATATTGTCCGATCAAAGAATTGACAGTTGGCCCTGCTAGGGCGCAAGGGTCTCACTACGATCATCTAGGAATCACGAAAATAATACTTTGATTTTATTGTAGGGAAAAGTACAATTTTGGTAGGTGTATTTATTTGATTATAAAGGTTATTAGCAGCTTATTTGATATTGTTACCCATTGAAATTATTTTTAAAGCGTTTTCACGAATATATACATTTTTTTACGATAGTGTTCAAGTGATATTTACAGCATTATAGATTTCTATAACCCCATCTGAATCATTTTGATTTTACAAGAAGGCCATTTTCGTCGGGTTGATTTTTTCAATTCATTATAAAGGTTGTTGACAACTTATTTGATTTCCATACAGGGTGTCCGCAAAGTTGGGGTTTTCCTTTTCAGAAACAACTACCCTTGAAATAACAAAGGTAATGTGTAGTGAAACGAGGGCGACCAAGTAAAAAAAAATAAAGGAAAAAGTACTCACTCTCCAGTTGACGAGAAGGGCTAAGTACGTCTCTGCCCGAACAACAGAAAATGAAATCAGCTGATGCGCTACCAAGCAGACACAGGCAAACAAGGAAGGCAAAATGTTGCGTAAAAAGTCTATTGCATCCCGTCCAATCGATTTGGGGGAATAAATGGTCTAATGAGCATACCGTTCACCATTCCAGCCCAAACATTCACCGAAAATGTGCCCGATGGACAGCGTGCGGATTTTCTACTGACCAAACATGAGTGTTGCGAAAGTTATTCACCCCATTACGCGTGAACGTAGATTCGTCTGTCACCAATATGCACTTCAAAATGTCCGGATTATTGTCATGTTGATGCAACAACCACTCACAAAACCGCACTGTTGCTGGAAAGTTGTCAGGTTGAAGGTCTTGTACACGTTGGACATGAAACGCATACAGCCCCTCTTCACGCAGCGTTTGCCACACTTTAGTTTTTGATACTTGCACTCCTCTAGCCACGTCTCTAGTGCTTGTTGAGGGATTCTCGTCTACGCGATTATCTCTACACGCGTGACCGTAACCGTCGGATGAAGGTTGCATACTGACCTGACACACTGACCCCGACCCAGTTCTGTCGTCGGATTGAGCTAGTGTCCTAGTACCACTGGGGGATGTCGCGGCTACAGGACGGTATTCAGATATTTTTGATGTTGCAGAGCCCTTTATCTCGGTTCCCTTAAGACATTGGTGTATATGGTACTAAGAAAAATTGCTTATGTTTTCAAGATCTACACGTCGTGTAAAGGAAAACCCCCAACTTTGCGGACACCCTGTATAATACTTAGTGAAATTATTTTGAAAACGTTATGATGAATGTGTGTTCTTAGTTTTACGATAGTGTTCAAGTAACGTTCGTTGAGTATTTTTTGTGAGAATATTATTGCATACAACTACTTTCCGAAAATTAGCCGTTTTCGAATTAAACTAATTTTTGAGATTTCATATAACTAACGTCCTTTATACGTTAACCAAGTCATAAAACTTGAAAATTGGGTGTTTCATTTGTTCTTTTTTTGTTTTACAATAAAAATATTGTATAATACGAAAATTGATACTAAAATGTACATTATTGTCGTTATCTCGTGCAGTAAGCTTCAAAATAGTTCGATTTTTGCTAAAAAAAATCTTCGTTCGTCTCAAAAACTCATTTACTAGAAACAATCACCTACAAATTTTTGGTGCAAAACATCTACGTTTCATTACCTTTCAAATGAGGTATCAAAGTCACAAACCGGTTTAGAAATGACAAAGATATGAGTGCAAGTAACAGGTAGAGCCGCGAACACCGGTATAGTGTGATAAGTGAGACTATAGTCACCCCCCTCCCTCCCTCCCTAGCTTGAATACATATATATACATTCTTAGTTTTACGATAGTGTTCAAGTGATATTATTTACTAAATTTTGGTTGGGTTGATGTTTTTCAATTCACTACAAACGTTTTCACGAATGTCTTAGTTTTACTATAGTGTTCAATTAACGTTCGTTGAGTATTTATTATAAAAATATTTTATATGTTATAATCTTGGACAAAAATCGATTTTGGCGACTTTTAAAAATTTGAAATTGAAAAAATTTGTATTGGGTAAATAGGATATTTCGGAAATTTGGAATATAATTTGAAGATTTGAAAATTTTGAAAAAACTTATTTTCCTCAAATTTCGAAAGTAAATTTACATTTATTGTCAAATATAAAGTATACCAAAAATCGAAGCTCTTGATTATGTGTATAGTTGTAGTCAACGTTCTTGGCGGTTACGTCATCAACGCCATATGAAATAAGTAAACAGATCGAGTCTCCGTACCATGGGCGGAACATTGCGCAGGGGACCGCTGTTTGCATTCTCTTCCTGGAAATACCCCAATATGAATTTAGCACGACCTGTCGGCCTTCTCCATTGATCGTATTTCCGGGCATTGTACAATTTTATATGGAAGACTGATAACAGGACAACTCGAATTGCACGCTGATGTCACTCTGACAAATATGATTGAAGGGCAATCATGTGTAACGACAAAGTTTTCGAGACGGAGACACACAACTAAGAAACGTATGTCTTTGAGCTTACCGAACAAACGTTCACACAAGTAGCTTGCATGTGTATGTAAGAGGGAGATGGATATATAAAGGGATACTGGCAGTCTTACTTTGACCTGCCAAGAACGGTGACTGCAACTATACTAAGTTTGAAAAACAAAACAAATAACAAAAGTGGATCACAAATTTCCCTACTCCTACATATGTTAACAAAATTCAGAAGTTCCTATGTAGGTACAAGTTTTTTGGGTAAAAGGGCTTTATCTTTTTTAAATAGTTGGAACCTGTATTTCTTTTCTTGTTTAGTCGATTCAATGTCGTAGGTTGAAAGGTTGTGAGACCATAAAGAAATAGCTAAAATCGATAAAATTCGCCTGTATGTCGGTTATACCCATCATTTACAGTTTTTTATAATCGCCTGCTCAGTATACTTAGATTTTATATAAGATACATACATAACGTAGTTTTAGGTCGTCAAGTTCTTCGTCCATCTCAACTTTCTTAGATTTCAAATTCTTTCTGGAATTAACAAAATATCACTATTATGCAAAGAGGAATATAAACAACAATGGCCAGTCAGAAAGTCGGACCAATTTTTCTAAAATCTATATGCTGTGTTATTCAAAAGAAACTTACGCATATGTTTTCATTTCATCCCTGAACCCATCATTTTTGGCTAGTTCCTCCTGTAACTTCTGATTTATGTCCTGGTTCATTAAAACCATCGCATTTACTTGATCTAAATTTTTCTTCAAATCTAGTTTCACTTCAAGTCGCTTGTTTATTTTTTCTTGAAGCTCCTTCCATAGTTTCATGTACTCATCGTAATCTTGATTGATTAATTTGACGTAAGCTTGCTTGTTATCATCGCTCTCCTCAACATTCTTGAGCTAATTAAAGTTTGCATATACTTACTTCATTCAGAAATAAAAGAGCAGACATTTGTAGGTACGGAAATCCTAAATGTGTTCAGTATTCACTTTACATTGAAAACAAATATCTGGTTGACCTGTTGACTGAAGAGCAGAAAGCAGCCACGGTTAACTGGTGTCAAAAAACTCTTGACCGTTTCAATTCCGGAAACTCAAAAAATGTCTACAGCACTGTTAGTGGCGATGAATCGTGGATTTACTGTTATGAACCAGAAAATAAACGGCAGTCGGCTGTTTGGGTGTTCCAAGGTGAAGAAAAGCCAACAAAAGTCATCCCTTCTCGAAGTGTTTCGAAAAAGATGGGCGAGACATTTGTGTCAAAAGCGGGTCACATTGCAACAATTCCTCTTAATGAGCAAATAACTGTTACTGCGGATTGGTATACCACCATTTGTTTGCCAAAAGTCATCAGTGAGCTTCGAAAAATCGTATCCGTTATAAACTGGAGTCGAGCCAGCAAAGTACCATCAAGCGTCAAACCCTAACGGACAACTTTTGAACACTTATTGAAATAAAAAGTGATATTTTAGTGTGTTTTTGTTTTTTATCTGAACAAATGAAGATAAACAAAGATTTCTCCAATTTTCTTGAAAACGAATCGACCGATTTAAAAAATTCAAACGTCAGGACCTAGAAAGACCTTTCTAACAAGCTATTACTCGATACCGCTTGCCATCTAAAATTTTTATGGGAATGACCCTCTGGGGAGCAGAGGGTGATGTAGTTTTTGGTTAAAAGGTTGTCCCCCTTGACAAATCTTTTGACGTGTAACGGCGATTTTTCTTTAACTCAGTGGTTTTTGATAAATCCGTGGTTAAAAGGATTCAAATGAACAACCTGTATGTATAAAACGTAAGGATGCAATTTTGTATGCACTGTTGATAGCTTACCAGTAGCAGCAACCGTTGTACCAAGGATTCATAATCAAATTCATGGTTCGTAGCACCTGTTTCTTGCATTTTTTCGAAAAAAATACTGAAAATCACTGAATTCCTCAGATATTTTAATATGCGGTGCCAGAACGAACGCCTCTTTATAAAATTTCCTTCAGTGCGCGATATTCGATTGTTTTCCGTAATTTGATAGTAGTCCACAGCTAACTGAGATTGATCAGTATGAATGATGAATAGTACAGTGAAAATAGCTGTTTTGCTGAATATTGGAGTTACTCAGTTTTGATAAATTACTTATATCAAATAATTATATCAACTATTGGAATTCTAAATAATAATACTAAATAATATATCAAAAGGATTCTCCTTCATTAATTGTTCAAGATTTTGATAAAGACTTGATTTTTCTGAGACAGTATAGTGGTTTGAACTTACCATTTAAAAAATAGAGCAGAAGCCTAAATGCCAGGGCACCGCGGCTGCTATGTGGATTCCAAACAAACTTCGTTAATCCTTTCTTGAACTGTATAAGTTAGTATTAGAACTGAGAAAAGCCTCCTCTTATAGATTTTTCCAGGGCTTCGATACCTACCCTAGGGACAAAAAGGATAGGTCGTATATCGGCTAGTTCTGGATGTATAAAGTTCGAAACCGTTATTAAGATGGGCGGCAAAAGTCAGGTGGGTCCGTCTGGACGAGAAATCTAAGGAGAAAAGCTCATTTGCGTAGCGATAAAAGAGAGCTAGATTGCCGACGGCCCGAACCGGGTCCCGAGACTGTCCGTTAGAAAGCAGTCATCAATCAGTCGGACAGCCCTCCCTCTGGATAGCATCGAGCATGGATAATGTAGCCGGGGCGGCAGCACCACAAACAGGTCTTATCTGGGCTTTTTACAGAGTGAGGAGGTAATGTGAAGAAAAGTACTTCTTAGCCCTAAACAAATAGCCTAGCCTAGCAGCTGGCACTATGGACGAAATGTGTTCGTGCCAGATCAAGTCTTCGGTGATCTGGACTTCGATTAGCCGAAATGACGGTAGAAATCAGCCATCAATTGAAAACGGATGAGCGCTAAGGCGCTTTTTGTTCGACAATTATAGAACTGTGTTTTGGAAGCATTAAACTGTACAAATGACTGCTTATTAAAAGCTCCAAAAAGATGCGCTTGTCAATATTGCGAGAGTGGCACTGGTATGTTGTGCTCAAATTGTACATATACCCTATTTAACGAGTATCCATCACGCTTTGACGTCTGCTGAGGTAAACAGCTGATCAGCAAGTGACATTTTTGTGTTAGTCTGCGAGGTTAGCCATAATGAATCGGGTGTGAATCTAGTAAAACTTGTTTGTAGCGTTTTGTTTTTTATATGGAAATAAACTTTTCTAAATAAAAGCGCTGTTGGCAAGTACAAAATGAACCTGTAGCCTACAAAAAAAAACCAAAACAAAATACGGCTATGACTATGACGGATCCGTCAGAATTATGTGTCCTGTGCCGATATGGAGAATTTTGAGATATTACTAGATAGCCAGCTGTCATTCTACTATGATGGATACTATTTTTCAAACCAGTCCAACCATACCCTCAATTTTTGTGACAAAGTTTTTCTGTAGTTTTCAGTTGGTGACCCAGCTGCATTCATAAACTTGGAGTGAGATAGTCCGACTTTCTATAAGTGACTCAGTGAGAAACCAAAAATTTTTTAAAACAGTGTTAAAAGTGTTATATTACAGACTTAATACTTAAAAGCAATTACAAGGTTTATGTTTATGTACAACATAAGTAGTTTAATAGAAAAAACAATGTATATAAAAGAAAAAAACTGAAATTGCAAACAGTGGCGTATCAAGGGGTGGCGCGGGGGCGACTCGACACATAATGATTCAACATCAAGAGTAGGTGGGTATGACTCAATGTAACTAGGCCACTGATTGCAAATTATGTATTTTCTACCTCAGTCAACTCATTGGTCAATTTACTTTTCTTTGAAGATTCATCATCCTCTTTATGTTTTCTCTTTTCTCCTGATCCAACATTAAATATACTATTTTGAAACTCCTTAAACTTCTCCGGATCTGCCAGCAGACTTGAGCCTGGAAAGCATGGTGATTCCTCCATATTTTCTTGACTCTCACCTCCATTTTCAACTGAGACTTTTTCATTTTTATTGTCATGATAATCATTGAGCCTTGCATGTGCACTAGATGATGTATCCGTCTTCAAAATCTCCCTCAACAACATTGTAGCATAGCTACTAGTTGGTAAGGTGACCTCAATCAGAAGTGCCTTGTATTTACCATTTTCTACACTTTTTGGTTCAGGAAGTCCCCTCAACTCATCAAAATCTGACCTTATTAGATCATCTGTAGGATTGTTATAAAACATTATCTTCCATGTAATGTCTGGCTTTTGTATAACTCTTCTATAATTTCCACTTAGCGTGTATGTCTTAACTTTTTGTTTTGGCATTTCTAGAACAAGCCCATACTCTTCCAATGCTTCTTTGTAGTATTGTTTTAAATTCTCTGGATAGACAACATCATATCCTGGAGTAGGTAGTACAATGTCATATAATGTGTAATTTTCTAGATCTTCCTGGGTCAGAGCTTTGACTTCTATTTTAGATGTGCTTCCATTTGATATATCTTCTTTTTCTGTTTCTTCTTCTTCTTCACAGATATCTATACCATCAGTCTCATTACATATTTCTTTATCACCTACCAGAATCAAATCACCTTCTACAGGTTTTAACCCAAACAACTGTATTCTTTTTGATACCATCTTATTCCAAACCAAACTCTGGAATGAGTGCATATAAAACAGTCTCATAGATCTAGGAATTTTCTCTAAAGCATTCACATAATCATTTTCATTAATTTTCATCATACCTTCTAACAATTTTGACTCTATACATTTATGTTTACTTGCGCCAAATTCGTTGAATGCCTTCTTAGCATCCCTGGTTTCAGCATACACTTTCTTTGCCTTAGCAATATCCCCATTGTAAGCAAAAGGATCATCAGAGGTTTTTGGCTTTAGTATCAAATCAACTGCTTCTTTCCACTGAGCCAACAAGAATTTAATACCAATCTCGTAAGTAGGAACTTCCTTATCATTACCAAACCTCTGCAAACCATAATAATTTATGAACCCGTGTTCTTTTACATGGTTTAATGCTGTCTGAATTAACTGATCATCTGCTTCAACATTTCTCAATGCAATCTTGAAGTTGTTTCCTTGTAAGTCTCCTAACTTCAATTGTGCATCTTTGTATGAAAAGTTACCAATTTTTATAAACCTTATATGCTTGGTCCTATTCAAGATTTTGCATGGATTAACCTTGTGTATACAGAAACACTGTGTTGTGATTGCCCTCTTGTCTTTCACACCTGCGTATGTCAGTTTTGAAGGACGCATTTTCAATGATCCAGCAATTTTGAAACAAGCATCTAGAGTATCAACTTTCTCTTTGTATACCAAAAAATGCACATATTCTCCTAGGCCAGCAGGCCATTCTTGTCTGTTATCTTGCTTATCACCTTTCTCATGTTTCTTCACTTCCATGTACTTTTTGGAAGCACCATCCTCTTCAACATTTACAGTTGAAACAACCAGTTTTTTACCAAAATACTTTTTCAAGCACTCATGCATCTCCTTTCTTGCTTCTTTTGTTATGTCATCAGCATTTATTTTAATTGGTTCTACTTTGTCCTTTTCCACATATTCTTTTAATTCTACCCAGATTTCTTGTGATATATGGCTACAAGGACTTTGATCAACATCTTTCAAATCCATGCCAACAGATTTCTTTACACAAAAATCCTGAGGATAGCTGGTGTCAGTTAGCTTCAGTTCTTTTCCTTCCAAATCAATTTCATGTACTTGGAAGTCGGAGTATCTCGCTTTGATAACTGCTGAAAATCCTTCTAAGGTACTCATGTACTCTGTAATGCCGGCATCTTTCTCAGAAAGTTGGATTTGATTTTTGAATTCTACCTTAGGTGGTCTTGAGTCATAATTTACATGTGACTTTCTATTGTTGCTGAAGTTCTTTCTTCTACCACGTTTATGATTCATGTTTTCAACAGTTCCTGTAATCAAAAAAATAAAAAACTCAGTTTCTCTAATTAGATGTTATAGAGCAATATAGCTAGTAACTGATGATGTACAGTGTGCAAAAACCAACAAACAGCTCACCAATTTTGGCCTGAAAAACAAGGTTTTGAAATAAACTAACCTAAAATACTCTTCAAGTTCTTGTAGAGCAAAGTTTTAAATATAATTTAGATACTTAGTAACCTAATAGTTATATGTAATATTTAAGTGCTGATCAAACCAGCACAGTATAACCCAGACTGAATTTGTTTTGAAATTTTTTTTAAATAAATTAAACTTTTTTTAAGTTTTTTTTTGATCATTTTGAACAAAAAGTGCTTACATTACCTTTTCTCTAGAGCGGACCATTCTCTAGTTGTAAGCAAATGTCTGGAAAGCCTTAATAATGGATATATTCAATGTTTAAAAACGAGGTTGAAAATTACAATTTTTGAGGTCGCCAAGTATCTGAATTAAAGTTTCGACCTTGCTCTATAGAACCCAAAGAGTTCATTTCAATGTAATTTTTTAACCTTGTCTGATAGGCCAAAATTGGCGAACTTTTGGTTTTCGCAGACTGTACGTACATACACGTGTTTAAGCAAGATACTGTCATTTTTATTAACTTCTGCAACATTTGGCTATACAGAAAAAACAATTTGGAAAATAATACGACATTGTCAACAATTGAGTTGCCGCTGGAAGGTGTGGGAGACTGGAAATAAACAGAAAAACCAAAAAAGATGACTGTGACCTCAATTATAAGGTATAGGCAGAATCATAACATTAAGCGGTCTTATATTTTTTATAGAAAATCATAACTTACCACGTAGTTGTTGTATAACATTAAAACATTCAATTTCAAGTGGAGTGCCTTGTTCAATTTTATAGTTTTTGAGGTTGGGTAATACCGGTAGTTGCCGCGTTGCGGGTAAAAATGGGTAAAATCACAGAACATACGGTTCAGTCTAGAGATGGAAGATCTTCTATCAGTTGACCAAGATTACGAAAATCAACCTGTGTGACTGCTAAACTCACCATTTTACACACTCTGTTTTCTATTCCTAGATCCGAAGAGTAGTACTCGAAGGGGGTGTTCACTACTGATAATGAACTCAAATTGGGTCCGAGTAAAGATGACATGGCCACGCAAGACAACTGTTGAAATGTATTCTACTAGACTCTAGAAGACTATCCGTAGCGAAATTTTTTCCAAAATCGTGCACAACACTTAAAAAATGCAAATGAAAATTGGAGAATTGCCGCTTTGACGTTCTAAATGACTCCGTCACAGACTCTGTTGGTACCCCGGGTTAGACATCTGTCTTGACAGATAGCCTGTAGTTGTAATTCTTGCCACCTGGATTGCGGCCTTGCCAGCCCATCGGACGATTTTGCTACCTCTGCTATTTTGATAGAAAGTTATAAAAAAATAAGTTTTGAATAAAATATTGAGGAACACCAATGGAGATATATAAAATTTGAGGCGTAGCAATGTTTGCCAAAAAACTAAACAAAAGCTGTTATTTACATTTTGCGTCGCCTGGCGTCTATGCGGCGGTAGGTTAATGTCTCTGAACATTTTTTAAATGCCCAGTTTTATAGGATAAAATTCTTTTTAAATATGTGACTTCCTCCAACAATTGGAAAAAATATTATATAAATATATTTATTAACTATTTGATCTAAAATTACATGATCATTAATAGAACTACGACTTACGCAGAGATATTAGGCATTCATTTTGAGGATGCTAAAAATGGACAGCTTGTAACTCGTCGATCATGTGGAATTACAGGCAGACGCATCACATCCCTACACTTGCTGGACATTTGGTGCCCTCGTTTACTCCAACAACCAAGTAAGAGTAGTTTCCTAAACACGGGGCTAAGATACCAGGTTTGAAAACGCCAGAGAATCAACGCTTGATTTTTTGCACCATATTTAGTGAACATAGTGCCAAGGGCTTAGTGTCAAAGCACGATACTGTCAATTATAGACTATCACCAATTCCTTGGACTAAAAATAGTATTTTGTTCGAAGCTTTGCTAATAGTTTTCAGATTTTCCAGAAATGAATGTAAGTATATAAGAACACTTACAAGAACGTTAGATTATTGCACGTTTCTGTGAATTTCTTTTTATAATAATGTATTACAGGGTGGCCAAGATAAGAATCAGACTTAAATTCAGTAATCACATAATCTTACATCAAGCATTTGTTTGCAACGCCTACTTTCTTGTGAAATAATTCATTTAAACACAAAATGTCTAACCAGTTTTAACAATAATTCCACAATCAGTGCTTGCAAACACTGGCCCCGAGAATAACAAATCTATAATTAATATTTATGAACTATAGGTACACTGCAATGTGGATCATAATTTCACCAAATAAATTTATTAACATTTTAAAAATCTTTCAATTATCTAACAAAACTTTTAGTCATTTGAATCATTTCTACAATGAGATAAATGTAAAATTTTTTATTTGCGTCTGATTGGATTTGAACCTATATTAGTTCTTGTGGAAACTTGATAAACATTATTTAGTGATCTTGTTTGGTGATCATGCACGTTATGGTAGAACCTAATATTTATGTTACTTTTTTGTATTATTTATAATTTTATAAACAAGTGTACATTGTTCCACCTCCAAGAACACTCTTAATTTGTTTAAATTTAAAATTTTAACACCCTCAAAAAAGTGTAAACAAATGAATTCAGAACTTACCAAATCCTAAGCAAGCCTTGTCGTGTCTCCAAATGTATCCAAAATGTAACATAACACCACAGAATCACTGCATATTAGCACCCTCACGACGAGAAAGTCGAGCATCACATTCGATCACGCAGATATTTCTTTGTTTGTACCCGACGCCCGCGACGTCTTGCCTCCGCGAGATCCAAAGATCGACTGAACAGCAGCTGTCCGTTGTGCGCCGGCCGTACCGACGTTCTCGACATGCCCGTTGAACCATCAATCTTGAAGCTATCCCATTTGCCAGTGGCGGCTTAGCTCCGCCCACCCCGCACCCTACTTTCCGTCTAAGACGCGATTGGCAGAGAGAAACGGATATTTGACTGTGACGTAATCCAGAGCGTTTCGGTGCGGCCGGCGCATAACAGACAGCCGGTGTTCAGTCGATATTTGGATCTCGCGGAGGCAAGACGTCGCGGGCGTCGGGTCCAAACAAAGAAATATCTGCGTGATCGAATGTAATGCTCGACTTTCTCGTCGTGAGGGTGCTAATATACAGTGATTCTGTGGTGTTATGTTACCTTTTGGAGACACGACAAGGCTTGCTTAGGATTTGATAAGTTCTGAATTCATTTGTTTACACTTTTCTGAGAGTAAAAAATAATTGGAACAACTTTATTATAGGTAGTAGAGGCTTACGTAAACGTTAACCTAATTTTGAAATAATTTATGTGAACACAATAATACAAAATGTATAACCAGTTTTAACAATAATTCCCCAATCAGTGTTTGCAAACACTGGCCCCGAGAATAACAAGACAATAATCAATATCTATGAACTATAGGAACACCACTAATAAAGCTCTGCATGGAGCTGTTAACACGTGGACATTCCGCTGCACCGACGGTTGCCGAGAGACTGAAGCGTGTGAGTGCTGTACCTCGCTGCGGCGATACGACTCGATGTTTACGTTGACCGGGAGCAGACGCGCGGAGTGGGAGCTGGAAAAAGGCGTGACTGTACTACCGGGCCGTACCGTATCGTCGCAGCGAGGTACAGCGCTCACACGCTTCAGTCTCTCGGCAACCGTCGGCGCAGCGAAATGTCTACCCGTTCACAGCTTCGTGTAGAGCTCTATTCGGTTTAGCTCCACTTTTTAGTAGTTTAGTAGTGGTGTTCTCTAGGGTTCTCAAAGTGGAAATTAGGTCTACTTACAATTCTTCTGAGGGAAACAAGATATCTGTGCAGTTAACTAGGTGAGGCTTACATACTCATCTACTTGTGTGTTGGAGGGGTGCAGGTCTTCATAGCGCAGTCACATTATGTGAACTTGTTGCTATGACAGCATCGAAACAGTGCGATTTTTTAGATTCGGTACATTCAAACCATTTATATCGAACTATTCGAGCATTTTAGGTTATTGCACATTGCCCAAATGTATAATTTATACAGATGAAACAGATTCCATTATCATTTATACCGTATAATATAATGACTGTACTATATGGCGGGTCGGTAACACCAGGAAGCAGAAAAATGTGAGTCAATTCAATATCGCTGCCATTTGGTTCTTCAATAAAAAAAATATATTTTACGACGGCCTAACTACCCAAAAACCAACCAAATAACATTGGAAGATGGCCGAGAAAGCCTTTCGCAATATCGTTGTCGTCTACCAGACTTGTGTACTCAAACTTTGAAAGTAGCTAGGAATATGTTAAGGAATTTTATTTGGGCACCTTGCGATGTGGAGCACATCGAGGGATATGAACAACGCTTCATCATGTCCTGGCTCAGATCTTATAGGATTAGGTTTAGTTGCTCTAAACTTGTAGTTTCCAAAAGCTCTTATTTCTTTTCCTTGCAGAATTCCATAAACTGTTTCCATATTGACGTACGGGTTTTAACGGTATTTTACGGTACAGTTTTCTCAATCGCCAGATCAATGTTAGTCAAAGAATAACTTCCAAAGCGACTAATTTTCACTATATAAGCTGACTAGTACTATTTAAAAACAATATTACAAAACCTATTGACAATAAAATCAGCAAAATTGTTTAACGTCGTTTTCTGAAGACCATAATTAGTTGTATTGTAATTTTTGGCGACAGCGGTTGTCAAGTTTTGCCGCGGGTAAACTGGAAAAAAATGCTGACAGGTACTGTCATACTTTTTTCCATCTAGAAACCATTCGTAAATCAAAATTGCGCGTTTGTGATTGGTAGAAATTAAGACAAGGGAAATAGTCGTCGTCATGAAAACCACAGGATAAGTTTCAGATGCTACATTAACACAAAAGACTGGTGCCACGACTTGTGTTTGAATGTTTATGGTAGCTATGTTGAGAAATGAAAAAAAGGTTCAGATTTTAGTTTGTGTTACAATTTACATTCATAAATAAAATTTTTCTGACTGAATTACAAATCGGTTCTCACTTAAAAAATGACCCTCGTATAAACCGTTTGCTGGCGATTCTTCACCTGATACAATTAATCTTAGCAGTGCGAATGCAGTCACTAAATAACATATTCCCCTTATAAAGAGTAGAGAAAATGAAAATCGTACTTCTCCTATAAATGATCATGTAATTTTAGAACAAATAGTTAATAGATATATTTATATGATAAAACATTTTTTTTTCCAATTGTTGGAAGAAGTCGCGTATTCAAAAAGTATTTTATCCTATAAAACCGGCATTTATAAAATTGTTCACAGACATTAACGTTCCGCCGCATAGACGCAAAATGTAAATAACAGCTTTTTTTTAGTTTTTTGCCAGACATTGCTACGCCTCAAATTTTATAGTATATCTCCATTGGTATCCCTCAATATTTTATCCAAAGCTTCTTTTTTATAACATTCTAGCAAATTAGCAGAGGTAGCAAAATTGTCCGATGAGCTGGCAATGCCGCAATCTAGGTCATAAGAATGGTAAGATGTATGTCTATCCCGGGGTAACGACGGGGTCAGTTAGTAAGTTAAAGCGGCAGTTTTCCAATCTTCATTTTTATTTTTCAAGTCGTGTGCAACGATTTCGAGACAAATTTCGCTACGGATAGTGTTCTAGAGTCTAGTGGAGTATATTTTGATAGTAGTTGTCTTGCGTGGCTATGTTATCGTTACTCGGAATAGATTCAATAATATTTATGTGTATTGCGTATCGGACATGCTACCCATATTAGATTCGCTTTTTCCATCGCTACACCTATCAATGTCACCCGTCACCGTCACATTTTTGTGTTCTGTAATTTTGATTTGTTTTGAGTGTTTTGTTTTGCGCAATTCTCGTTGAGTTTTCTTGAACGGCGGTAAAAGTTGTAATGTCGTTATAAAAACTATATTTTCACTATAATTTATACAGCAAATATTAAATATGAAACCAAAAATTAATCAAGGCAATGGATATCTAACACCACAAGCATCTAGAAGAAAATCCTTGGGGGCCCTGGGAGCCAGTAAAGCAAAGAGTAGCAGCAAACTGCAGAATGGTTCACCTACGGGCAGCTTATTGAATTTGGACGAGGGGTTGGTTAGAAAACTGCTGGACGATCCTATAAAAAGGCAGCTAATTGTAGATTTAATAGTAGCTCATAAGGATCAGATAGATGAGTATAAGAAAGCACATGCCATAGAAGGGCTACGTAAAGTGCAAGCAAAACCAACATGTGAGAGCCCAACTGCTTTGTTTCGTAGAAGGCTTATGGAACAGAAGGAAAGGTAACATGCTAGTAATTGTTGATATTATTCAAAGTTTAAGAAATCTGTTAATATACGCATTAGAGTTAAAATCTTATAATTAGAGCATTCAAACATTGTCATCATGAATTTTCGATTTTATTGTAATATATACGTTAAAAAAAACATGGTATAACATTCTGACTGACATCTGATTTGCAATCTATATGATTTACTCAGGAAACAAGATTTTATTCAGATCTCATGCCTATATATATTTGAAATTACTTTGTGATACATCGTAACATAATAATTGGAATTCTTTTCAATTTCTTAAAAATGGGACATTGTAAGTAATGTATTATATGCACTGTTCAGCATGTATTCCTGACTCAACCATTTTTGTAACAATATATACCTCATACAGATAAAGAACATGAAATTAAAATCCCTTAAATGTACTTTGTTTGTATTTTGTATTAATGTATGTGGTTTTGTTTATATATAGGTACTTTGAGGTGCCCTTTCTCAAAGCCTCAATTTGTGATATCTACTGTTAACCAATTATTTTATGACATACATTTGCAATGTCTTTTAGACCAATATCAAGAAATGAATCAGACTCTGCATCTAGTAGTAGCAGCAGGCCTAATTCAGCTATGTCTGGAGCATCAGTGGTTCCGTCACCTGTTCCTCTCTGTAAAGTTCTTGAGGGTGTTATTGCTTATGTAGAAGTACAAACAAATGGCAATGATAGATCTCAAGGTGTGAAAATAAGGATAAAGGAAATGGGTGCTATAGTTCGAGACCAGTTCACTAAAGATATCACTCATGTAATTTTTAAGGTAACAATTGCATCACAATTACTAAAAAGCAGTAACTTTATTTGTTTACCTCAAACTTACCATGTAACAAAATATATTGGAAGTATTTTCACATCAATCTCTCACTTTTTATCCAAGTGCTCTGTGTAACATTTCAGGATGGATTCTTCACAACATACAAGAAAGCCCAATTGATAAAAGCTCATATAGTTTCTGTACTTTGGATTGAAGCTTGTAGAAATGAGGGTATTAGAGTGCCTGAAAAGAAGTATCCTGCTATAGGGCCAGATATCCATGACTTCAACACATCAGCATTATGTTCTGTAAGTAGATATTAAATGTAGTTGTAGACTTTTTAGATTCATCCTTTGGAAATCTTGTAAGGTCGAACAAAAATAGAGCACTTGCCTCTTATTATGGCATTGATTATAGTATTCTCCAAGATGCCCATCCCTGTGCTGTATTTAGGTCTTCACATGCAATTTCCATCATCACAACCATACTGCCAAGTAACATTCAAGATACAACAAACCAGTCAGTTACATATCGGCCACCCTGTATAAGGGTAATGTGCAGCCTTAATTTTGATCTTATTTTTTGAATTCAAGCTTTCTTTTATCTTTCAGCAAATGCAAAAAGAATATGAAGAAGTGATCAGAGATGAACTGAACAAGAGTTTCTCCACCGGTGCTCCTTTACCATCAAAACAAGACCTGATCAACAGAAGACGCACTTTGATGACCCCAACTGTTACGAAAACTTTTTCACAAGAATTACCTTCATCTCAGGACTTTGAAGTGGCTGAGATATTCAGAAAGTCCAGAAGGACTCTAGGTCCACTGTATACTCATAATCAGAGGTCTAGTCAGGGCAGTTCAGATGCAGACTCTGACTTGGGAGCAGTTGTTAATGGACCTGTCACAAAACGCAAAGATGTTTCACATTCTCGTAGATTTGACACGAGTGATGATGTTATTGACTCTTCATGCATGGACCTGACTGAGCTTCATGGGACTGTTATCGATTCCAATACAAATCTTGCCAAAGAAAATGTGCAACCCCCTGTAGTAGACACTATTAAAAGCCCAGCCTCTTCCTATAAAACTGCTGTGGATTCTCCATCGGTCAAAAATACAAGCAGTATAAAGATATTGAGCAAGAACGTGTGTAGCCCCAGGATTGAGATTCCAAATGAAGTATCTTCTGCAATGTCAGCCTTACAGATTTCCGATAAATCCAAGACTACGAGCACTACTATGTCTTCATTAAGAGTGTCATCAGATTCAAAAGTGGCAGAAGTCCAGCCTAGGCATGGTGAATACGTTACAATGAGGAAGAAGCCTGCACAAATTAAGGGAGCACCAGAATGTTCACCACCAAAGAAGAATAAAATGGGCACTGAAGACAGTGATCGTACAGTATCTGGATTGGTTAAATCGTCAGAGGAAAATGTTGAAACAGAGATCGGTGGAAAACTTCAAAGCAGTAAGCAGGTAAGACGTTGTAGATTCTTGGTTCTGAAAATACAGAAGTATAATGAGTATAAATACAGTAATGTCCGCTAATAACGGGACCAGCGAAACTGGTTCCCTATAAGGGAAGTTCGTAATAAACGATAAATAATGCTAATACCAGAAAATATTTTTCATTAGTTTATTATCAACCAGGGTTTATAAAATGTTTGTAATAGTATGTAATAATATCCATAATCCACATTAATAAAAGTTTTTGAAAATCTTTCTTAAAAAAATCATTTATTTTTGTGAAATGAATATCATTAATATGTAATTCCACTTCGGCTACTCGATTTAGCATACGTTGCGGAGTATTTCTTTTCTGATGGAAATGACGAACGCTGTCAATATATCGAAGTGCTTCTGATCTGGTTGGAGTTGGTATCGGTTCCATACCGACAGATTCTTCATCTTTATTTTCCTTTTCTTCGTCATCATCAGTATCAACTGCCGAACATATAGCATCTACAATGGCATCATCATCCAGGTATTCGACAGTCACAACTTGGTCATCAATATGAACAAACTAATTGAAATCGTTTTCACTATAAGGAAGATTGGCTCTAATATTGTCTTGAAGATCGTCTTCCTGTTGAATTTTCTTCATCCACTCAACTAATGCCAGGTCGTCGTCGGGATCAAAATGATCCTCAACCTCCAAGAAACCCCCATGCGTAAAACAATTTAAAATTGTTTCTTTTTGATACCATCTGCCATGCCATATGAATGATGTTTATTGCATAAAAAAGATTGATTATAAAATTTTCCCTGCCACTATCTCAATAAAATCTTCTGGAGAGAAGAACTTGACGATAATGGATTTTTAAATTGTGGATTACATCCTGATCCACACTAGGTTAATACAGTCCAAATTTTTAACATCTGGATGAGCTGGACAATTATCCACTAATATTATAATTTTTCGTTTTTCGCGGCGTAACTCAACATCCCAATTACCCAGTTCAGCATCAGAAATCTCTGAGGTCATCCATGCTCTTTTATTGGTTTTGTAATTAACTGGCAACAGTGAAACGTTTTTAAAACATCCGAGGGTTTCTCGATCTTCCAATTACCAATAGCTTACTTTTTTCTGTCCCTGTTAGATTTGCCACTACAAGCACAGTGATTTTTTCTTTAGATAGCTTCCTACCCTCACACTTCTCGCCTTTGAATCTTAAGGTCCTGTCAGATGTAAGCTTATAGAATAACCCAGTTTCATCTGCATTGAAGGTCCTCGTCTTTGAAGTTCCTTCTAATGATTGGCCACTTGTGCTGCAACCAGTTATTCACACACTCCATATCAACTGCAGCAGACTCGCCAACAATTTTTTTTAATGTTATGTCGTCTTTTGAATCTTTCGATCCAGCTTCTACTAAATTTAGGTTCTTCACTCAGTTCTTCATGTTTCAATAACTTCGTCCCAAGGTCTTCAGCCTTCGATTGCAGTATAGCACTAGTTATGGTTAGTTTTTTATTTCTCTGTTGAGAAAACCATTTCAGAAGTCCCTGATCAACTTTATAATTCGTGGGCTTTTTAATTTTCTTCACATTGATGTTTTGGCCTTTTTCAAACATTTCCAGTATTTTGTCTTTATTGTACCAACCTGTAATTAAAATGAAAAATTGTGAATCAAATTCATATCTCAGAGTGCTTATTTACATGTTATTGTGCGGTACTCGCCGTTGATTTACTTAATCCCATTTCAGAACAACACCTCCTTGCAATCTTTTAACCATATCGTATTTACTATTTAAAGTAAAAGCTTCACGTGTTTTCTTAGAAATTGCGTGACCCATGATTTCAAGAGTGCAGGACACTGAATACAACGAATAAAGGCGGCAGACGCTGACGATTGCTCATACCCCACCACGCGGTCGGAAGATTTCGGTTACCTGATTCTGGTAAAATCCAGTTTTACGCTCGTTATAACCGAAAATTTTTACGAATATGTCAAACATTTAGGTTGTTTTTGTCAGGAGGTTCGTTATAAACGAGAAAAATAGCTCACATTTAATATCTTTTCAGTCGGTACCTTATAAATTAGTTCGTTATAAACGGAAGTTCGGGTTTGTTATAAGCGGACATTACAGTAATAGTCTTATCAAGGATGCGTTTCTTACTAATTGAAATTATCTTTGTTTTTAGTTGGACAAATTCAAGGATAGAAGAAAGAGCAAGAAACCAGATAAAGCAACAGAACCGGCAGGTGAGGTAGCCAAGCCTAAAAACACAACAAGAAAAAGTGTTCTTAAAGCTGTAGATAAGCAGATAGAACCAGCTGTGAACGATAAAAACACTTATTCCAATCAACCTCAATTTGATAAACCATCGCATATAAGAAAAAGCTTATTTCCAACAGATGTTGAACATTTATCTAGTAATAAAGCTAAAGCCAATACCCTACCACGTGAAAAACCAAAAATATCCAGAAAAAGTGTCAAACCTAGTGCAGCATCATCTTCCAAAGAAAAACCAAGCATCAACCTTGAAAATGATGTTGAACCTAACGGAGTTAGGAGAAGTCTTTTCACGACAACTTCAATCACCTCACCTGGTGAGAAGCAGGCAAAAGACCAACTTAACAGCGGCAAGAAAAAGTTCAGGAAGTTGTATAACCCAGACGACGTCTTGCTCTGCGATGAAGACGTTTGTGATGAACGCGAACGTGAAAGACTCCGTGAAGAAGCAAAAAAGAAGAAAACCGATGGTGTTTTCATTAGACCAATGTGTATCAGCTTGAAACCAAACGTTTTTGTATCAGAAAAGGCTAAGGAATATATGGATCAGCAGAATACAGACATTGATGATGTATTGAATAAACATACTGACTCAGATTCTGACCACAAATCAGCGAAAAAGAGAACTAAGAAGAAACAAGTCACACAGAAAAGACAAGTTGTTTATGATGATCGGTTCAGTCTGACTAAGGGTATATTCGCCAAAAAGGATGATGCGGATGACGAAAATAAAGAAAAACCGACACCTAGTCGCAAATCTGTGAGATTGTCTCTTAAACCCAGAAAAACTTTCAATTCGGACCACAGTATATCGACAGACACTGAGTCTGAAAAAACTCCCGCAAAAAAACCTGAAACGCCTCATCCAAAAAGTACACCTGCCCGACGTGGAACCCAAATAACGCCCAAAACACAACCTAAGATCGACATCAAAACTCCTGTTAACAGAAGGAGTACCTTGGAGTTCCAGCCGAAAGATCAGATGAACACCGCGAGGAGGTTGAAGATCGACAAGTTGCAGATGCCGACGATAGTTTGCACGAAGCTGCACAAAGACGACGTGGTGGTGTTCAATCAGATTGTGAAGAAATTAGGGAAGTTCAGTATTGAAGACGAAGTGTCAAGTAGGACGACTCATTTGGTAGCTGGAGAGCCGAAAAGGACTATCAACATGTTGAGAGCCATGGCTAGGGGGTGCTGGATACTGAAATACGAATGGGTAAGGGTGTTTAACTTGTCTTGACAATGATTGATTAACATATTTATACCAACCCTGTACTGTATTTGAAGGCTCACATGAAATTTCCATCATCACAGTCATGTTGCGAAGTAGGATCTCAGTAATTCCCTTAGAAGTATTAAAAACAGATTCTATTATCATTTTGAAGAAAATTGTTTATTCTTAAATATGATGCCAACCTTCCAAGTAAAGATGACTTCCCAGTCCCCCTCGTAATTATTGGACGCCTTTATGGCCTCCTTGATTTTCATAATTTATTCTCTCCTTTGTCATGGAACTATTATTTCTAGCTTTCTATCTCTACTGTTCCATGACAACTGTTTTGAGCTTAGGTTATATGTTTTTCAGATTTAACAAATTTTAGATTGTGTGAATCATCAAAAGCGTGTCTTCTTTTAAGTAATTTAACCTGTGGTTTAATCTTCCATCTCAAGTCTTTGTGGCACAGTTTAAACATGGCCACTGGTAGTAATTACTTTGTGTTGACATCGAAATGCCAAAGTTGCAAACTTGAATTTTAAAGAACAATCAAGTCTAATAGAAAAAAAAATGATGAAATATTAAAATACTAGTTCTAAATGATTTACATGCTAGAATTTCATGGATGCAATAAACATGAAATTTTAATTATTTTTCGGACCGAAAACAAGTCGTCCTCCAAATCACCCAGTTGTTTTTAAAAATTTCCGCATGGGAAACATCAAGAATAATAGAAATTTTCATAACTAAATTTCTGTTACAAGCAGATATGTTAATTCACCTAGGGAATTTGGTGCGCTGAATTCTGATCAAGACATCGAGAATTATTGTGGGGCCGAAAAATTCAAACAAAAAACAAATTTAAAGGGCGCAGAGCAGTACGTATGACGTAACTCTTTGGAATAGGTTTGTCATGAATTGACTAGGATTTTGGACTTTCTATAGTTGGTGTAATCTTAAAAATAACTTTTATTTATGCGAGTCTGCTGGAGGCAAAGTCCTTGAACTAGATTCCTGACCAATCTATTCCATTCATGACCTATTTTTTTTTTCCAACCGCTTGGTAGTTCAGGAAGCTTTAATACTGGTCCACATTTCAGCAATCTAAAAAATTGTTTATTCTTAAATATGATGCCAACCTTCCAAGTAAAGATGACTTCCCAGTCCACCTCGTAATTATTGGACGCCTTTATGGCCTCCTTGATTTTCATAATTTATTCTCTCCTCTCATGGAACTATTATTTCTAGCTTTCTATCTCTACTGTTCCATGACAACTGTTTTGAGCTTAGGTTATATGTTTTTCAGATTTAACAAATTTTAGATTGATGAATCAAAAGCGTGTCTTCTTTTAGGTAATCTAACGTGTGGTTTAATCTTCCATCTGTGGAACAGTTTAAACATGGCCACTGGTAGTAATTACTTTGTGTTGACATTGAAATTGTATAAAAATCTGTTTTTTGACCTAGGACGATTAAGGTAGAAATAGTTTAATACTACAGAGTTTTCTAAGAACTTTAGCAGAGTATGAATCTTGAAATTGGGATTCAAGTGGGGTGGAATATATTTTTTTATTGATCTTGCAAGCACTTGTAAACATTTTTTTATGCAAAATATGGGTGCTGCGAGGGATATTACCTGAGAATATTCTACTAACTTCGGGCAGTCGGATTGACAATGTTTCTTAGCTTCTTATAGCAGCTGTGGTGCCCCGGTAGTCAGGCGTACGCGGCGGCTTCGGTATATAAAAAGTAGGGCTCTTTATAAGCGAAATTGAATTGAGTCAATTTCACTACTTTTGACGTTATATGAAAACGACGGCATGCCTTCAATTTATACAGGGTGACTTTGAAGTTGAGTCATTAATTTTCAGATAATAATTGTAGAAGGAAGATAAACCAAAATATGTGTGTAAAATAAAAAAAAAATAATAAAAAAATTTTACCTTGTTTTATAAAGTATCCTCCCGACAAGTATTTCAGTGCGGACCTGTATTTGATCGTGAGGTCTTGGAGCACCGACATGCCGTCCCCTGTGAGGTCTTAAGTCACCTGATTCACGAGCCCGTTGTACTACATTAACAAAGTCACGAGGGGTTGGTTGCACTCGATTGGGAAACCGATCCGCATAAACATGTGCCATTTTTGATTTCGTTTGAGCCACGCAACAGACACCACTATTCACTCACGCGTTACCGACTGACACTGACTGTATACAACTGAATAAAATAGTTGTAAAACCATCGTTCCAAATTCTTTCGCTTTTTTGTTTCCGATGCGATGAACCGATAAGGCGGATTATATCCGTTGTTGCCAAACACGAGCACATAATATTATTATTGAGACAGGGCGGAACTCAAACTTCCAAAGGGCTATAACTTTGTTACTTTAATTTTACCAGAACAATGGTAAAGGAAAAAAACATTTCTTTTGATCAGATCTACTCACTGTTAAAATAAATGACTCAACTTCCCTCCCTGTATATTTACCTCCAGAACTATGAATGTAGCTTTACAGTTCTGTACACCTTTTTTAGGGTGACACCTACCTGGTGACTCAACTCTTTCAGAGTTGAACTCCAGATAAGATCGAAGACTCTTCAACACCTAGCTTCATTGTTTGAGATCGCACAAACAAATACTTTGCTTTCGGCGAATACTGAAGAACTACATCCAAATTTACTGATTTTTATGATGATGCCTCAGAAACATAATTACTTTTGGAGATACGAAGACTGCGAAGACACTTAAAAGCCGCTAATGTTACAGTAAAGAAGTTTCAGTAAACTAAAATTAATAAAAAACTATTTGCGGGCAACAATGACCCAATCGCGGCTTAGCAATCTTGCTGTATCAGCAATAGAACACGAGCCAATACAAAATATAAATTTTGATGAAATTATTTTTGAGATTTTAATTTTAAGATGAAAATAATTTTTCTATCTTAATTTTTATTGTTTTGTTATTTGTTCAATATTTTAAATATAAATATTAAATGATCCATGACGTTTATAAATCATATAAAATTTATTGACTTTTTTGACTTTGGACGGGGTGACACCACCAACCACCACCCAAGGTAGCTACGTCATTGGTTCTGTACATTTATACTAAATATATTTTCAGGTACATAAACAAATATGTAAGTTGAATAATTCTTTTGCAGCTGCTGAAATCACTAGAAGCTGAAAAATGGTTGCCAGAGGAGGACTTTGAAGAAATTGATTTCTCACCAGCAGTACGGGTAAGCCATAGTATTCTTTTTTGTATTTTAGCATGTGTTGTACAGAGAGGAAAATCATCGTCAGGCAAACATTTTCCAATGTTTACCTCACCAGTTATCTCTTTTTTTTTTAAATTCAATCCTTATGAAACTTTAAAATATAGCTAGGATGTACGGCATTTTTTTTGGCCCCAATGGCAATTTTTTCAGCTTTGCAATTTGGGACGTTTAATTCCAATGTGAACGTCAAAAAATCGTGATGTTTAATCAATTTTTATTTGGAATAGTAACTTTTAGGCGTGCCCATAAATTATAGTAAGGATCGCACACACGCAGGACTTTTTGAAAATTCTTATAGGAAAATAAAAAAATAATAAAGGGTGAGTGTTTAGTACGGGCGCGGTCAAAAACTCAGTTACTAGGCACGATATCAAAAAATTGTAGCAAATGTTCCTTACTTGGATAATAGTTTTATCTCCACACAGAGGGATTTATAACTAAACCCAAACACATTTTTTAAATGGAAATTCTTTTCATTGCAGATTTAGATGGGGCCTTTCAAACGAATGTATCTGATATATGGTTTTATTTTCAAATTGTTGAGATATCCGACAATCTATCAAAAAATTTCGACGACTACCATCCGCAACTGTCATAGTTAGGTACTGAATATTTTCTTCCTACCTACTTACTTCATCAGTTTTCTGAATGTTTTTTTTTTTTTTTTTTTTTTTTTTATATCGAAACAGCCGCGCAGGCAGAAGCCTAAATGCCGGAACACCGCGGCTGCTATGATGATCCCAAAGAAATTTTGTTAATACGATTTTTGAACTGCCTAAGGTTAGTAGAACTGGGAAAAGCTTCCTCCCGTAGATTGTTCCACAATCTAGACACCCTCGGGACAAAGGAGCGGTCGTATCGGCCAGTTCTGGATGTACGAAGTTTGACACGGTTAGGATGGGACGCCGAGGTCAGGCGGGTCTGTCTGGCAGGCACATCGCGCGGCGGCATCATGGAAGAGAGCTCTGAGGAGCAAAGCCCGTTGGTGTAGCGATAGAAAAGAGCTAGATCGCCGACGGCCCGCCGGTGCGAAAGAGTCCCGAGACTGTCTGTTAGGGAAGAGTCATCGATCAGTCGGACCGCCCTCCTCTGGACAGCATCGAGCATGGACAATGTAGTCGGGGCGGCAGCACCCCAAATGTGTGAGCAATACTCGAGGCTAGGCCTTATCTGGGCCTTGTATAGAGTGAGAAGGTCATGCGGAGAAAAGTACTTCTTAGCCCTAAACAAATAGCCTAGCTTTTTCCCAGCAGCTGCAGCTATTGAAGAGATGTGTTCGTGCCAGATCAGGTCCTCGGTGATCTGGACTCCGACCAGCCGAAATGAATGGCTCTTTGGTAGAACTCGACCGTCCATCGAAACTGTATGAGCGCTAGGACGCTTTTTGTTCGTCAAAGTACAGTACTGTGTTTTGGAAGCATTGAACTGTACAAGATTGTTGCGTCCCCAAGCAGTGACAGCCTCCAGGTCTCTTGTCAGAGAAGAAGTCGTCGCTAGTCTTCTTTTTTCCAGCTCAGCAGCAGAGATCGGCTTGTCACTCTGAATTCCTGCATGTAGAGTGCTGTCATCAGCGAAGCTGTGGATTGGGTTGATCGTGCAGGAAAGGAGGTCGTTGATATGTAAGAGAAACAGTGTTGGAGCCAAGACCGATCCCTGGGGAACACCCGCGTTGACGTTGTGGGATGAAGAGGAGAATCCGTCAATTACGACGGATATCTTGCGGCCAGAGATAAAGTCAGCCACCCATCTGCAAAGCTTTTCTGGGAGGCCGTAGGATGGAAGTTTGCTTAAGAGGGCAGCGTGCCACAGCTGATCGAACGCTTTCGTGATGTCAAGAGCAACGACATGAGCCTCACCATTAGACTGAATGAGTTTACTCCACAGTTGCGTGACGTAAGCTAGGAGGTCCCCTGTGGATCGTTGGTGCCGGAAACCGTACTGCCTGTCACTAATCAAGTTGTGACGTTCGAGGTAGTCCAGAAGCTCGCGATTTATGCACCTCTCCATCACTTTACTTATAACAGAAAGCAGAGCTATAGGCCTGTAGTTGTAAGGGTCGGTTTTAGATCCTTTTTTTGGGATGGGCTGTACATGAGCAAATTTCCAGTTTTCTGGGAAGGTGCCGGATTCATAAGATATCTGGAAGAGACGCGAAAGAACTGGAGCAAGCTCCGCTGCACATCTCTTCAGTACAATGGCAGGAATCAAGTCCGGACCAGAAGCTTTGTTGATGTCGAGCGACAAGAGCACTCGTCTTACGGTCTTATGCCTGAATGTTACCTCCCGCATAGTGTGGGGAACCCTTTGAATTGACGGCACTTGGGCGTTGGTGGGGACGTCCATGGTGGAGTTGGCAGCAAAGATCTTGGCTAGCACTTCCGCCTTGGCCGTTGAGTCGAATACAATAGTTCCATCCTGACACGTAAGTGGTGGAAGGCTACTGTGTGAGAAGTTCTTTTCAATCTGCTTGGCCAGCGTCCAGAAAGACCGACTGCCATTGCGCTGCGACATTACCCTGTGCCTAACTTTTATGTCATGCTGGTTTTTGGCATTCCGAACCGCTTCGTTATATTTGTTTCTGGACTCGACGTCGGCTTGTCTGTTCTCTACAGTGGGGTTTTGTAAGTAGGTTCTGTGGGCCTTGATCTTCTGCTGGCGAGCAGTGTCACACGATTTGTTGAACCAGCCGTTGGACCCTGGTTTAGGAACTTTCACTGTGTGAGGGATGTATTCCTCCATTCCGACGTGGATAATTTCGGTTATTGAAGAACAGACAGTCGACGCATCCGCGTCAGTGAAACAGACATCTCTCCAAGGAAAGCTAGAGAAGAAGTCTCTGAGCCCCTCCCAGTCGGCATGTCCGTAATGCCAAATTTTGCGGCCTGTGCGAGTTTCTGCTGCCACAGCGGCTTCTGACCGAAACCTAACCTCCACAACACCGTGATCTGAGTTACCCAGGGGGGACAGGACAGCAGTGCTGTAAGGGGCAGGATGCGTGGTCAGAAAGAGATCCAGCAGGCTACTGGCGTGTGACGAGACGCGGGGGAAAAAAGTAGGGCTCGTCACTAGCTGGGTCAGCCCTTGAGTAAGAGCGAACGCTTCGACTGCACGACCTGCTGCATCGGTCTTATTTGAGCCCAACCAAAGCTCATTATGGGCATTGAAATCACCGAGAAGAACTACCTCTGAAGCGGGGTGATTGATGTTCAGGAAGTCGATCTGGACGGCGAGGTATTCGAGTAGGTCATCCCAGTTATGGTTCGATGGAGAGCGATAAAGGCAGCAAATAAATTTGGGTGATGTTTTGGAGTTGAGGCGAAGCCACAGAATGTCCTTCCGGTCTGATTCCAAAGAAAGATCCCTGGAGCAGGAAAGACTGCTGCGGACAAAAGCCACAACTCCCCCGTTCTTTCTCAGATTGGAGTGCACCTCGTAGTTTGGGAAGTTGAGATGGTTAATCGGTGCAGTCTCTGAGATTTTTGTCTCCGCCAAGAAAAGCACGGCGGGACGATTGGATTGCAGGTAGTGATGAACAGCATCAATGTTGCTGTTGATCCCGCAGATGTTCGAAAAACAAATTTTATCTTCGATGTTGTTCCCTCGAGCCCACCCTCCACCCGGACATTCCGAGAGTGGAGTGAGTTTACGTCCGGAGTTTTTAGTGCTCGAGGGATCCATCATCATTAATTTCTTTGTTTTGGTAGATAACCGACTGCATAGCTTAGGTGTGGAAACATGCGGACATTTATAAGACACCCTGGGAAAAGCTAGCGGGTGGTACTGCCTCGGTCGACTGGTCCTTGTCTACCACCTTCTTTTTACGTGTTAGTGATGTTAAATAGACCTAAAGTGGCCCGTTGGCGGACTTGTACCGCCACCCGGCAATCGGTACTGAGGTATTCCTTAACGCGTGCACAATCACTTGGACGGGAAGAAGTTGTATACTGGATACAACAACTTCCGGAACAAGCATTTGCCACGGCCCTCGCTCAGTAGGGGGGGGAGGGGGGGGGGGGTTTAATGCAGTGTGGTCAAAATTAACTATTTTTCACAATTTTCAATTGGAATACCTTGTATATTTTCTTAGTTTTTGATTCTCCTTTTTACAAGCCTTTTTCTGTTGTATGTTGATTGGTTTTTGAGTTTAGCTAACCATTTTGTATTCCAAAATATCAAGTTAAATGAATATTACAATACCTTTCAAAATAAATAATAGCATTTGGTTGGTAACGGAAGATCGGTATTATTGATATATAAAGTTGAAAAGTCATGGTGGTGTCCCTGCGTTTATAACTCAAAAACCAATCGTAAAAAACTCCATAAACATTTATCAGAAAAAATCTTATGAAAAGAGAAATTAAAGAATAGGAAAAGATACAGGACATTTCATTTGAAAATTTTGAGGAATATTTCATTTTGCGTTATTTTATAAACTGTTCGAAAAACTGAAGAAATAAGTAGATAGAGAGAAAATATGGAATCATGAAATTTTTCTGACTGTACATGACAGTTGCGGAGGTGCGAGTTTTTTATAATAGATTGTCGATTGAAAATCAAATCCTCTAGAATGTCATATCGAATTGGTTCATTTGAAAGAACCCATGCAAATCTGCAATAAAAATCTAGGGCTTTCCATTTAAAAAAATGTGTGTTATAAATCACCGTAGAGGCAACAATATTTTCCAAGTGACGAACATGCTTTTGCGTATACTTTTTGTATTTAACTTTTTTAGATGCCATGCATAATATCGGAGTTATCGACCGAGCCTGCACTAAAAACACACTGTAAATGACTTTGTATGGCTGGCAAAAGCATCAGGGTCTATAAGCGTTGAAAATTTTCGTATTTCAGTATTTCAGAGTATAATATGTATTTTAAACTTTCATCAACATTTTTTTTTTGTTTTAGTGCTTGATTATTCTTTCAAAGCCGAACATTCGCAATTTTGGCATTTTTGTTCAAAATGCACACATTTTCGATTAACTTAATATTTTAATTTTAATTAATTGATACACAATTATGATGAGACTTCAACTTTTGTATTTAATTTGAGCGCAGTAGAAAATGGGTGATTTAAAAAAAATGCCAAAGTTGCAAACTTGAATTTTAAAGAACAATCAAGTCTAATATAAAAAAAATGATGAAACATTAAAATACTACTTTTAAAATATTTACATGCTAGAATTTCATGGATGCGATAAGCATGAAATTTGAAGTATTTTTCGGACCGAAAACAAGGCGTCCTCCCAATTACCCAGTTGTTTTTAAAAATTTCTGCATGGGAAACATCAAAAATAATAGAAATTTTCAAAACTAAATTTCTATTTTTATTTCCTGCTGTTACTAGCAGATATGTTAATACACCTAGGTAATTTGGTGCGCTGGATTCTGGTCAACATCGAGAATTATTGTGGGGCCAAAAAAATCAAACAAAAAACAAATTTTTGGTATAGGTTTGTCATGAATTGACTAGGATTTTGGACTTTCTGTAGTTGGTGTAATCTTAAAAATAACTTTTATTTATGCGATTCTGCTGGAGGCAAAATCCTTGAACTAGATTCCTGACCAATCTATTCCATTTGACCTATTTTTTTTTTCAACCGCTTGGTAGTTCAGGAGGCTTTAACACTGGTCCACATTTCAGCAATCTCGCTTGCAAAGGCAAGCGTTCGGCCCATCCTATTCTATGGACGTTTTCCAAGACTGTGGCGTAATCTACGTTGCTCGAGGCAGCACTCCACGTTGTTCCGATCTCCGAGAATTGGTCAAACTATGCGGTGCAAAAGTGACCACGATCACAAGAAACGCGGATATCATAGTAGGCGGGTATCAGAATCGGGATGACGTCATATGTGTCACCGAGATTTGGGTGCTGGACTCGATTAAGTTTAATAAAAAGATGAACTGCAATAAGTATAAAATTACGAGTGATAATAATGTTATGCTTTAGTGACTTGATATACATATTTTATACATCCTTCCTGTCTAGTGTATTTTTATATTTATTGCTTATTTTTATATTGATTGGATTATATCTTAGAAAATAAATATTTGGATTGCTAAAATTTACTTTTATTTTATTACTATTCTTGGAGGTCCTTTTGTTTTGAGTGAGTTAAAAGTAACGATGCACTAGTCTGTACCCTGTACCGGGTTTACCCGGTTTCGCCGTGAATTAAATTACTCAGATAGATAATTACTCGGTCTGAATGCAAGACACATGACCTGGGTAAATCAAAGAATTGCGGATCAGATATGCCATATCCACACCTTTCAGATATCGCTGTTTCTCAAGAATAGTGATACTATTCAAAAAAAGCTTTTTTTCAGGAGAGGCATTTTTAATATTTTTTGAAGAACAATTTCGGATAACTGGAGATAAAGTTAATAATTTGGATTTAGACAAATTATCAATTAAATAAGGTTTATTGAACTTTCAGATTCATGGAATAAAAGATCGGTATGTTTTCAAAAATATCCCATTTTATTACTGTTTTGCAAGTTTACTGGGATGTCATTATTCCTAAAAAAAATTACGCATTTCTAAAAAAATTTTTGACAAATAATTCGTCGTTACAGAACAAAGGAAAATTTATTTTAGTATTACTACCTATAATACACTACTAACAAGATTTTTTTAGTTAAGAAATCAAAGGTAAGTACAGACAAAAAAAACTTGTACAATACAAAAATTAGTTACAAATTATTGTAAAATTCCTCATAGTATGAGCCCATTATGTTTTTTTATTAAATTAAGCAAGGCGATTTTCTTTTTTCGGAAATGGGAATCTTACGTTTGTATTCAGAGTAACAGTAGGACCTCTTTTTGTTGCTGCGGTTTTCTTGGATCTTCTATAAGATTTTTATCTACCTCAAATTTATGAAAATCAGTCTCATTGTTTGAGTTTTTGTAGAAAAATTTTCCATAATGTTGAGATTCTACCGTTATTATTTTAACATCGGATAGTCTGAATTACTTATTTTCCGAATTTTTATGTTGTAGGAAGATAGTCACAATGCACTTTATGTCACTATTCTAGATTAACAAGATCGGATCAGGGTACTTTGCTTTAATATAACGTTATTCTTGAGAAAAATGTAAATACACGCTAGTGTCACTATACTTAAGAAGCAGAGATATGTAAAAAAATAAAGAAGTGTATGAAAATAAAGTACCTAATCCCCCTTAAAGCGTGACTGATCAATCATAAATGTATAGTTGCTAAATCCAAAAATTAACAGAAATAAATAACCTCGTGCATTAAATCATCATTTACGTCACAGACCTACTACCTCATGTAGATGCGAGACACAAACATTTCGGCCTTTAATCATATAAATAAAAAGAGGTTTTAATTGGGTGAACAGGTGAAACTGCCCAATCTTTCATCTTCAGTATCTCGAAGCAGTTTATCCTGTGATACGAAAAGCCATCATTCGTACCATAACTCTGGAAATAGAATTTTAGTTTTAGAGCATTCACCTGAGAATAATTTTACGACGGGAGAAACTTTTAGAATTACACTTTGATTCTGTCGTTCCAGTTTCAGTTCATTCGTTTGCAATTATTATAGTCCAGTAAAATTATTGATTGTAATAGTAGCAGAAGCAGCGGTGTGAAGGCACGAAGCGAGGTCTGACCAGTAGGCCATTGATGATGACACCTTTTGCTGGCCTGTAATCAGCTAGTACCAAACCGTGCATGATGTCTTTCTTTTTAAATTGTACCCGACCTCCTGATAAAGTTCTTCCTTCGGGGTTTCAAGGTCAGAAAAATTACTAACCGACTGAAATTAGGCATGATGCTAGTTAATGATACTTGGCAGCAAGAACATTCCTCACCCCAGCTGAAACAATTGACGCCTTCACACATCACGGTTGAGTTGAAGAAAGTTCACAAGATAAGTTCTGGTAGATTTCAAATGACTTGCTAAAGAGGCCTTAGGATGTCAAACCATTCCGCATAAATATATCTCCTTAGTCCTCAACTCGCCTAGGAAGTAGTACAATATCTCGTCAACTTCCTAGCACATGGAACAGATGGAATCTTTTTCTACTCTGATGAAGGACACGTGTATATTCAGTCCACAGTGGACCGTGAGAACGCCCTCCAAAATATTGAGCGACTGCTTTCTTATATTCAATGGAACTCCCTTCCCCAATTCCGCTTATTCTTGAAACTCAATGATGATCCGCAAAAAAAACAACTAAATGTCATCTTGCAGACTAGGTAGTTTTTAGGGTGCAAATAATTCATTCCACGTTTGCTCGCTATGACCGCTGTGAGCGTCCATCTATGGAGGAATGACTCAACTATACGCATTGTTGGTTGCATATGTTTTGTGAAGTGTAGTTTTCATCCGTGAGAAGCTGTAAAACAAAGAAAGTTTGGTTGAATAGCGAGGTCGCATCTGGATGATTATGTGTATTGGTCTGCATGTATATAAAATCAGTTAGGTATGTTTGCAGTATGAGAAAATTATTATTGAATATGCTGCCAATGAAGTATATCTATCTATGTGTTATTAACTGTGTCCGACGGGTTATTTATATGTTGTCTTTTCTGAAGAGAGGTTATGTTCAAAGTTGTAAAATACGATTTTTTGAGTTTTCAAAAACTTTGAGGAGCACTACGAGAAATGAAAACCCAAAATAAATTTGTATAAAATTTAAATGACTGGAAATAAAAAATAATGTTATAATCGTTTCACTTTCATAAATATTCCTGTCTGTAGCATATTTTCTCACATGTTCCTTCACCAACCAGAGATTTTCTTTTATTACCTTTCTCATTTTTGAAATTCAGCAAATTTTCATATGTAATTTCTAAAATGGATAAGGAAAAGTCTTATGGTGAGGTTCAAGTCGTTGCTTTTGATATCACGAAAGCGTAAAATTGTACCGGTGCTATACAGGAAAACAAATTGAAGGTTGGGATATAAGCGATTTCTGCTTCGTCGCTAAGCCGCGAAGAAATATATGTTCAGCATATCAGTCATTTGACTCACGGCTATCGCCACCATTCTAATTATAAAATTTTACAGCTTGTGGAAAATCGTGGAAAAGAAATGTTACAATAATAGCTGAGGCAAGGTTTCGCTCTAAAAATAAACAAGACAGTAGACTTCACACGCCGTGGTTATCTTGTTTTTTGTTACCTGAGCATCGGAGTCCCAGCCTAAATTCCGAGTTCTCATATACAGGGTTATCCAAATTAAGTGTCCACCATTGGTAACTTTGTTATTAGTAAAAATACAAAGTTGTTTAAATTAGCAAACTAGTAGCATTTTTAACGCTGGTAAAAATGAGAAATAAAAAATAACAATTGAGAGTCGTTATTTTGATTTTTTTCAGTAAAATAACATTTTTTTAAATGGAAACCCCTGTATATTATATTTTTTTCTGTTAAAGCATCAAATTTTAAACAAAAAAGTTCATAATGACTTTTCCGCTAAAGTCAAAAATAAAGTCAAAATAACGATAAATATTTTTAATTATTTGCAGTATTATAATATTGAGACGGCTATGAAAACAACATGGCGTTCGCGATTTGACAGCATTAAGATAAGCGACAAATTGTTAAGCTGGACATACTCGCAAATAGAAGGCTTTGGAAAACAATGATAAAATCAAATAATGTCAAACATTAGTGTATATACTTGTTTATAAGCCTTATTGTGTCATTAATTTAAAGAAAAATGTTCTCCCATGAAGAAAAGTGTGATATGTTAGAATGCTATTTAGTGTGCAGAAAATCCTCCTTGAGAGCAAGAGAATACTACAGTGAATTATATCCCGCTCGCATTCAACCGTATGAACGATATTTTCTGAGACTTTATCGAAAATTTAGGGGCAACGAAAATGTTTTTGCTAAAACAAGGGCAAAAAAAGAATTCATAATAAGCGAGGCCACGGAAATTGCAGTTATTGGATATTTTGAAGCTTATCGTGAGAATTCAATAGCAGATATTCTCAAGGACTCTAATTTCAGTTATGGTACTGTTCAAAGGATTTTAAAAAAATACAAATTTATTCCGTATAAGTACCGACCAGTTCAAACGCTTTTGGCAGGGGATCCAGAGAGAAGACTTGTTTTTTTGCCATTGGTATCTTAGCTTCTGTCGCCAAAATGTAAATAACTTTCGTTACCTTTTATGGACAGATGAATCAAATTTTTCAAATTCTGGAATGTTTAATAGAAAAAACCACCATTATTGGTCAAGAGAAAATCTTTTGTTAGTACATCCAAGAGGCCCACAAGTCCGTTTCAGTTTCAACGTTTGGTGCGGTATAATTGGTTCAAAAATTGTTGGCCCGTTCTTTTATGAGGGAACCCTAACTGGTGAAAGATATGTGGAATTTATGTCAGAAATTCTGACTAATTTCTTAGACGAATTGGATCTTATAAGTAGACATCATCTGCATTTTCAGCAAGATGGCGCACCTGCCCACAACTCCAGAGGTACTTATCATTTTCTAAGTACTACTTTTAATGATCAGTGGATAGGAACAAATGGCCCAATACAGTGGCCTCCCAGATCACCAGATCTAAACCCACTTGATTACTTCTTGTGGGGTTATTTAAAGAACCAAATTTACAAGCGAAGGTACGATAACCTTGACGCGTTAAAGACTGCAGTTAGGGAAAAGATAACCCAGATAGATGGTAGGACCATACTTAAGACAGTTCGAGCAGTTGAAAAACGTGCCCAAAAATGTATTGAAGAACAAGGTGGTGTTTTCGAGCATCTTCTTTAAAAAAAATTGTTATTGTATTTTGTAAGATTATAAGTTGATGTTGAAAATAAAGTTTGTCGATACAATTTAATTGTTTCAGATTGGAGGCCATAACTTCAACAATTTGTAACCTAGGAGAAAAGTTATTGTAAGCTTTTTTGTTTAAAATTTGATGCTTTAACAGAAAAAAATATAATATACAGGGGTTTCCATTTAAAAAAATGTTATTTTACTGAAAAAAATCAAAATAACGACTCTCAATTGTTTTTTTTTATTTCTCATTTTTACCAGCGTTAAAAATGCTACTAGTTTGCTAATTCAAAC